GCGGGGGTCAGCCGCTCTTCGGGGGCGAGGGGACCCGTGGGGGGGGGGGGGGTTTTCTGCGTCAGGACGAGGACGAGCTCGACGATAGCCAACGAACAGAGCTCAGGCAGACAACGTGGCAGCTGTGGGAAGAGAGCGTGTTTGAGTGGAGGTTGTCGCAATATGAGGAGTTGAGATGAACCGGCCGATGGCACGGGAAGGACAGGGCCGCGAGGAGGTCTAGCTTAGTGGGAGAGGAGGTATTTCGCCGAGCAGGGAGTTGGCGAGGCGGCGGCGGCGGTGGCTTTCGGGACAGAAGAGTCTTGTCCGGTAGGGATGTAGGTTGTGGCCCGCGGGTGGTCCGTCTGTTCGTGTGGTGTCTGGCAGTATGGACCAGACCAGAACGTGGAGATCCCTGGACGGACAGGGCAATATGGAGGAACGATAATGCTAGGATGATAGGCGTACTGATTGAATTGGCGAGGTGTGTGATCTCAACGGCAAAGCCGGCCGGTACAATGCAAAGGACAATCTGGAGGTCGTCGTTGGTGGAGGAGACGGAAAGATTGATGGAAGTTGGGGACGGCGAATTGTTCCACCACAGACACAGCGTTCCACCAGACTTCTTGACAAGAGACGACAGGTACCACTCGGTATGCAGCAGTAGCAGCGGCAGCAGCAGCAGCGGAGGAGGGGCAAGCTGGATAGCTGGGCATGGGACAAGGCCTGAGACGGAAGAAGTAGAAGAGCTCCTGCTGGCTGACTGGCGTTAGGGCCGCAGGAGGAAAGCTTGGGTCTTGGGGCAGTCAGTCGTGCCGATGTTCCTGAAGGCCGGTAAGAACACCGGAGGCCGGGTGCCTTGCTGGGAGCTGCAGGTCGTCCTCGTCCGTCGTCCAGAACACGGTCTAATGATGATCTCCCCAGACAGGGTTAGCTCGTAGAGTCGAATAGCAACTTGCTGCCTGGTGTTGTTGTTGTTGTTGTTGTTGTTGTTGTTGTTGTTGTTGTTGTCGTCGTCGCTGTCCGTGATGGGCGTTGCTGCTGATGTTGGGAGACAGACAGACCCTCTACCGCGTGTCTTGTTGATGCCAAATGAAGAACACTTGGGTGAAGGACAGGAAAGACGTTGCATGCAAACAAACACAACCCCATGAACTACTTCAGCGATAGCAACGACTGACTTGCGCGTGCCAAATGGTGGGGTAAATGGGGAAACCATGGGGAGTGGCATCCCCTGTGGCCCCCCTAAAGTGCAGCTGGCTGGGATGTTTCTCTCCAAAAAGCGACCCCCTGGGCCCCTGGGTTGAGTCCCCTCGAGTCCCTTGAGGAGAGACTTTGGGGAGGCAGCTGGGATTCAGAGGGGGGTGCGACGGGGGTCGTCGTCGCCGCAAAGATTTGCCGCATTTTCCCTATTTCCGGGATTCGGGTGACCGAGATTATCCGCCAATGAGAACCCTCTGTACCTCCAGAGCCCACGCCATTCGGGGCGACTTGGCACCGTTAGCGTCCATCCCGCTGGGGAGGGAACCTCCTTTACCAGGGCAAGGATTCTGATTCTCCACCGTTGCCCATCACACACCACACCCGACACACACTCACACACTGCACTCACCTCACACTTCGAAGACCGTATTGTTCCTTTCCCCTGGGCTGGCTGGCTCACCTGCCTCGCGTGTCCAGTGCCAGTCCGGTCACCATGAGTGCTTCCACCTGCCATCGTCAGCTCTGTCCAGCTGCCCAGCCTCTCTTCTCTCGGCCCTTGTCCGTCTTCTCGAATCACCACCAACCAACCGATCAACCACTTTAACCCGACTTGGCTCGCCAAGCACCAATGCAACAGGCCAGTACCGCGGCTCACCACCTTATGTTCTACCTCGTTCTCGACCTGTCATCTCATATACAGCAAACGAACGAACCCTTCGCGATGAAGGTGTGGTTGCAGCCGACGCAGCAGAGATCTTCCGGCGCCCGTGTCTCTGGCTGCGTGATTGCCAATGTCACCTTGCTTCTTAGCCTGAAGTACGTGCAAGACTTACCTACAGGCACCATGCATACAACAATCCCGTCAACTCTGTGTGCTTGGATAATGGCTTTGTGCTAAACCATACGCCGGACGCCCTGTTACCTAACTCTTCAGGATGCCGCTCCACCATATGGATCACCTCATGAAACAATTGCTTGCTCACGAGGGAAGGTGGCCACGCACCGCTTGCTTCTCTCGCCGGATAACCCCCCCTTCACCAACTTCTGGCAATCGTCTGACGTTTAAACATGAGCCTGCTCGCCCAGAGATCGCTCCTCGTCGGACCCGATGTGGAAACATTATCGGCAAATATTTGATTGGGCCCCGCCGCCGCGCCGGCCATGCGAGAACCTCGGGATCGACCTACCGCGAGCACCCTTCACCACCGTGCGGGTAACCGTCTTCGCTTCTGGAAGCCCGCGAGCGGCGAGCCTGCAGACGGCTACAGACGGCCGCTGATCGGCCTTGTCGCACCCAGACAGCCAAAGTCAGGCGTAGACAAGGCCAGCAGCGAGCGTGGCCAGACGGCCCAGCCTCTGCCCGGGCCAGCTGGCCACAACCCGTCTGCTCGGACTCAACCCCGGGACCGCCCCGTGAACCCTCCATCTGCTGCCAACTCGTCCCGCGAGCATTACAACCGGCATAGCCGCTGCTGCAGATGCCAATGTGCGCTCGGAGAAAAAACCCTACAGCACAAGCTTATCTGCCCATCCAACAATCACACGGTGGTCTGCCCAGCAATGGCATCGACTCCGACAGGTCCATAATGGCCAGAGAGGTGGAGCTGGCCGAACTCCATGGGCCTCGACTCCTTACCTCATTCGCAATGTTTCCCCCATATTGGTACAGTTTCGACCATCACATCATGTCGGTGGACTCTCAATAAACTCCATTGAAGACAATTCGTGGATATCCGTCTACAGCCGTCCGGATTCCGCTAGCGTAGGACGACAACCCCAACCATCGCCTCATCCTGACGCTCGCAACACGAAGCCAAAGTCTTGGGGCCCAATCTTCAAAGTTTCAACTTCTCAACCTCGTGGTCCTTGGCCAGCAAACAAATCTTCTCGCAATCAATCGGAAGCACAACACGACTCCTATTCCAATACAGCTTATTGGTGCAGAATCATCTCTGATCGGTATCTCGATTTCAGTTGCCTCCGTTGGTGGATAAACCTAGATACGGCGCAAAAGGTGGAGCGGTGCATTGAGTTTCACCGCTTCACATGTACGCCAAGATTCCAGAGTACAAAACATAAAAAGAGAAGCAAGCCATTCTGCCCGGCTGTTCTCGACTCACCAACCGACATGCACCAATGCCAAGGACAAGACGGCCCGGATAGGCGGGATGGCCCCCAGAGGGTTGCGGAGCTTCACAACGAGAAGTGAGCTTGCAAGCGAAGGAGGGCGGCGTCTGCACAACGACACGACTTTGACCTTTCTCTCCCACCGGGCAGGACGCAGCAGGGCCAGAACGACGCGAGAAATACAACTGCATTGAAGACGCCAGACTCGAGACTCGATCTTTTTCGACCGATGACGACACCTACTCCTGAGCCCAGATACCAACCAGGTTGCCCTCGCAGTCGATGAACCGAGAGAAGAACCCCATCCCATTGCCAATTGCAGTCTTGGGCCTGTGATGATCGCTGTCAGTCATCTTTGCAGATGGGCACAAGGGATCGAGGTCGGGAAGCACCGGTCACTTACACGTGCAGCTTCCCACCCAGTTTCTCCGCCTCTGCGACCGTATCCTCAATGCTCTTCACAGCGAACGTCGGCAGAACCGGAATACGCTCCGGCCTTCCCTCGTCGACGTTTGAGATGCGGTTGCTCTCCTCCATGAGCAAGAATGCCCCATGGAGGTTGCCCTTGTTGAAGAAATGCACCGTCTTCACCCACGGCGTCACCGATGCCATGGGAGTCTCTGGACACTCCCAGCCCAATACTGCCGTGTAAAACCTGGCGGCTCGGGCCGCATCAGTGACTGGTAGTTCGAGCCAAGTCATTTGCCCGTAGGGCGGTGCGCAAGCGGTGCCGTCTGAAGACATTTTTACAAACTGTGGAAGTGATGTTGTCTATCCGTAATAGTGAAGTGATCCTGAATGTGCCGTACGCTCACAACCGCGATCCCAGAGAATGAGGGCACTCTGTGCTCAATTTAAGGATGTCACTTTACCGCCGGAATCTTCGTAGCTGGTTTGTTTCTCTCAGCCGCAAGCCCAGGCCGTAAGCCCACATCCAACTGTCTTGTTCCGATCGCCGTTAGAGGCCTCAGCTGCCTGGACCGAGAGCAAGCCACCAAGCCACCAAGCCACCCCCAGGCATCCACGCTCACATGACATCGTGTTTCTCCCGCGTCGGTTTTGGAGATGATTGATCGTCCCAGACATACTCTCGCAGCACGACCGATGTTGAGACGCGACTGCCTGGTCTACGCGAGCTGAAGCCGTGGTCTGGTCTTGGATACAAGTCGACCACAGTTCTGAGTCGGAAGCATAAGAAATCTTTCAGCCGTCTTATCCATAGCTGATATGTAATCCTGACATTCGGTGATGTACTATGTACAGTTGGGGGACTTACCACACCCCACATATCTATCTATGTAGACGTCATAGATCTATATCGATATGCAAAAGATGAATACTGATAACGAAAATCATCCAACGAACTATGTCCCAGCAACCACATCAACTCCTTCTATGTCCTTAATCCCTAGAGCGGAGCAGCCCTACCTCTAAGCCTCCCCGACGCCCTCATTCTCCATCAACGCCGCCCTCGCCTCCGTCTCATCGTCAACCTCCTTCTGCCCGACAGGACTCGTCCGCCCCGTCCCCGCCTGGATCAATACCGCAACAACAGCCAACGCAGCAGCAGCCTGCCACGTACCCCTCGACGCGCCTGCGTACCTCTCCACCGCGATGGCGTGCTCCGCCGGCACCAGCCCGCCGTTGAACACCAGCGCCGGGCTCCCAATCAGCTTCGTAATCAGCTCCTCCCTCGCGGCGCTGAGCCTCCCCTTGCCGTCAAGCTCCATGAAGCTCTCGACCAGCCCCGAGCGCAGCAGACGGTAGAACACGCCGCCGCCGATGGCCGTGCCGAAGCTGCCGCCGAAGCCGCGGAAGGTGCCCAGCAGGCTGGTCGAGATGAAGTGCTCCGCGGGCGCGCTGAGGTGCAGCAGGTGCGCGAGGGTGTAGTTGAGCGTGGCGCCGGTGGCGAGGCCGTTGAGCACAACGGCGGCGACGAGGGTCCAGAGGGCGCCGTCGGCGGTGGCGGTGAGCGAGAGACCGAACATGGTGACCGCGAAGCACGACAGCGCGACGACGGAGGGCAGCCAGAAGGCGCCGTTGCGCCGGACGTGGAGCCAGCCGACGATGAGCCCGCCGGAGCCGAAGCCGATGTTTGTGGGGATGAGGATAGAGCCCGCGATGGCTGGGGCGTAGCCGCGCACGGCGAGCACGAAGATGGGGGTGTAGTAGAGCAGGGTCCAGCGGATGGACATGAAGAAGAGCTGGGCGACGCAGGAGAAGAGGACGCCGCGGGACGAGAGGATGGCGATGGGGATGATGGGGTCGGTTGCGACTTTGAACTCGATCAGGACGAAGAGGGCGAGTCCTGAGAGTGAGAGGAGTATGGGGAGGTACTGGATGTCGCCGGAAAGACCGTAGAGGAAGAGGGAGATTGTCAGGACCTTGCGGGTTAGTATGGCGAGTGAGAAGAGAGGGGGTGGATAAGGGTGCTCACGAGTGCGAAGGCGCCGGCATAGTCGATACGGGCCAACTTCTGGGTCACCGACCTGCCTTGCGCTTTCGTTTCCTGCTCCGAGCTGAGGGTCTTGGGGATGGTGAGGAAGGCGCCGAGACCGGCGAGGATGCCCATTGGTGTCTGGGCCCCAAAGAGCGCTCTCTGTGCTGTCGTCAGTTTGGAAGACCACCAGCAGGGGCAAGAACTTGAAGACGAACCCATCCGATCACTGGCAACAGCGCTCCGTACACAACAGCACCAAACGACAGCCCGATCGTGAAGCCGGCATTTACCAGCCCGACAAAAATACCCCGCCTCTTCTTGTCGACCAACTCCAGCACCAGAATTACTGACAAGGTCATGATGCCGGCACCGCCCATGCCTGTCACGATCCTCCCAAATATGAGAACCCAGAAAGAGTGCGCCGTGGCGGTGATGACGCCGCCGACCGCAAAGCAGCCACCCAGGGGCATCACCAGATACCGTGGCGGGAAGATGGTCGCCAGCCGGCCAAACAGAGGGGCCAGAGAGGCCATGCTGATAAGGTACGAGCTCGTGAACCACATGGCGCCCTCATAGGCCTTGAGCTCCTCCGCGATGACGGACTGGGTCATGGTCATGCCGGAGGTGTTCGACGCTGCCGACAAATGAGTATCAACTTCCATCTCACATCGGCCTCAGAGGAGATCACTGCCGGAAATTCTTACCCTGAAGAAAGATGAGCATCCAGACGCTGATCATCAGAACGACGGCCCGAGCGGCGCCGATGTGCTGTTTGGGCGCATCATGGTCCTCCTCTCCGTCCGAGTCCCGGCCTCGGCCGCTGCTGCCGGCCGGCGACCCATTTCGGAGCGTCCGAGAGCTCGTCTCGGAGTTCAGCAGCGTCGTCGTCTCCGTCGCGATGGCTTCATCGGGGAGCGACTCGACATCCCCTTGCCGTCTCCGGACATGCGCTTCATCCGCCATAGTGACGCGGTTTCTACTCGGCCAGAATGCCCTTATCTCGGATGGTTGCACTGGCCAGGCTCGGCGTTACCCATGGAAGCGGAAGCTGAAGCTCTGGCGGGGTGGCTGGTTTCCTCTTTGCGCAACGATGCAAGGCAGGCAGTAAACTCAAAAAAATCCAAGAACGAAACAAGAGGAGGGGATGTTGGTTGGAAGCCGCACTAGTTCTGCATCACATGAGTTACTTGACCAGCGAGCGCCATGTGTATGATTGATTGATGGCGGACATTAGTGTCACCACGTGTTGAGGGCCGTTTATCTTGGTGCTTGGTAATCTGGTTGAGTCCCCTTGCTTCTCTCCGATGCAGCTAGACGTCAGTTGGCGCGATAACTGAGATGGGGCCCGCCTTGGTGGAGCGCCTGCCCCGCCCCCGTCCAAATAAAGGCTCCTCAACGCTCTTGCCCAATCACGTCGCTGTTGTGGATGAACTGACCAACCTCACCTCGTCAACGTCCTTTGTGATGCTGTTCGCTTCACATTTACAACAAATTCAGGATTGCTCAATATTCCGCCTTTACAAATTTGAAAGTGGTTTGTTTTTCCAGATATCTTTCAGCAACCTCCTTGCAAGGTGTCGCTGTAACCCATGTGCCACTTACGATCCTGACTGTCGCTGCCAAATGACACTGTTATCGAAGAGCTAGCATTTTGGAGCCTGGTTTTTTCCCATTCTGATATTGCATTTTCTGTTAATACGTATGAAATTACTTCGAGGAGAGGCGGGAATCATAAATCAAGACGGTGTATGTAGTAGGCGGGGCATCACCTATAGCGAGACCCGACCAAGCTAGCGAGAAACACACTAATAATATATCCTTCTTCACTTAGATATCTACCGCCGTATGTTCACCATGGTTACTCTTTGAAATAAATGTGAGTACTAAAATGTAGTTAAAATGGTGCGCGTGTGTGCCTATCGTGGAAGTCTTGGGGCTAGGATGCTTCCTATCAGAATGAGGGAAGAAACAGAAAAAGGGAGAACCAAAGAAATGGAATCATCATAGGAGGTAGAGAAAACAAAGAATGATGGAGGACGCAAAGAAACTAACGTGGTCATGTTGCTTGTGATGAGCGACCTAGGAAAACTCAGAAAAGGGAAGGACGCTGAAGGTCGTGATGTGGGCACCTATGATACGCGAGATGGATAGAGGTAAACACCAGAATCATTCTATTTTATTCAAGATACAGGTGTCGATATTCTCGTGGGTGAGCTTCGCAATAGAAATCCTCAGGCGCTTCACTTTAATCCGCCGCAGAGGCGAAGTAGGTGTGGTGGTTCCCCTGGTCGTCGAGATGTAGAAGGCGCGCAGCACCCTGATACCACGCGTTCCTTCCCTTCCCGTCCCATTACGAAAACACAACAATGCAAACGTCCTCCTTCCGATTCGATTCACCTCGAGACCATCACGACCGGGTAGGGGACGCCCTACCCGCTCGGTGGTGGAATGGTATGAGGTCTAGGATAAAGGAGGGTGGTGTGGAGGATATGGGTTCGAGCCTATGCGACGACAGGCAAAAACTACCGATCGATCGAATTTCCCGGAATGTGCACCAGAGATTAGCCCACACCGGTGGGTGAACTCTTTTGCCATCTGATCTTTATTTTTGATTGTGATCGTGGTTATCTGCTGCGGCGATGATTGATCCTGCTAAGTACCTGAAAGAAAAAAAAGGAGAAGATCGTCGTGGACGGGAAGGACTTATCCGTGAGAAGCCAACACAGACTGACACAATAAGTTCCATGACTCCATTCTCCCTAGACCTGAAACTCTTCATGCCCCTATACCTCCTTCACACAAATGTGCCAGCACTCATGTCCAACTCAGAAAACTCGCGACGGATACCCCACGGGCATCATATCGTAAGGCGCGGGCATGTACCACGCAAGTCCAAGGGCCAGGTTGTACGCCCAGTGTTGACTCGAGCTGCCGTTGCCCTTGTCAATGATAGTTTCATGCGTCTTGACGGGCTCTTGCGGCGTCTTCTTCGCCTTCCTCGGCGACTTTGTCGCATTACCGCCGCTCCTCGAACCAGGACGACGATGGTGCAAGCGGAGAAGTCGACGAATTCTGCATCGGGTGTTCCTCATTGATCGTGGCCGCGAAGTCTCCACGATCCATGGCGAGACCTTCTCATCAATCTCTAGCAGCGGCGCGTCCTCCGACTGTCGCGTGCTCGCCATCGTGGACGCGTCGTCAAAGTCCTTCTCGACGCTGTAGAAGCGATGCTGCTCCTTCTCGATGCTGTAAAATTGCTGCCGCGAGGCGGCCTGCGACTCTTTCTTATTCCCTCGACTCATCTGAGATATGTGTAAGTGACCGCGACTGCACGCCAAGGCGAGATCATTATACGCACACACGAACCACTTACAAAAGAAGACGTCAGACGCGCCCTTCGGTTCTTGCGAACGACTGTCCCATTACCCGCCGACGGGGCAGCGCCGGCAGCGACTTTTGAACTCCACGGCTTCTTCGGACTCCATCGCCGCCAAGACGCCGGCCACGTCGGTGATCGGGGCCCCGAGTGGGATATCGGCTGTTGTGGGATCGCGCAAACATGCATCTTTATCACGACTTACACCGGGACTCGGCGGTTGTCGTTCAGTCGCCTCGACATTCAATTGATGCTACGACGGCCACGAAGGCTCTTTCTTAGGAACGGTCCGGTCGCGTTGCAGCTTATATGAAAATCCTTGAGGGTGCATTGTCTCTCATGTGCCAACGCACAAGTCTTACAGAAGAGTACGACCTGGCGACGGGGTGCCGATCGCACGGAAACTTACATCCAACCAGACTTCCCGGTATGCTCCCGGCGCCTCCGCCCATAATCAAATCACGGCCGACCCTTGGATGGGGCCGGCCATGTTATTTAAGCCTCGGCGCCATGCCACCCGCGGCGGGCGCATCTTCAAGACTTGGCCGACTCACGCGGTACTTTGCACGGACAAACTGCAAAATCTCACCTCCGCGCCCTCAATTCGTGATCGCAAACAAACTTCCCGGCTAAAGGCAAACCAGCTCACTGGGTGTTGTGCCTCCGAACGGGACGAGCCACCTTCCTTGCCAAGGTAAGCGGCGAGAACGTTTGGGGCAGTCCGCCTCCGCCTCCACCTCCACCTCCGCGCCAACAAGCATTTGGGGGCTGCCAAGCGCGCGAAAATAAGCTTCACGAGGGGCGCTGCCCTTGCGAGTAAGCGATTACCACCTTGAGAAACGATCTTTAATTTGTTTGTTGTGTATGTAAAAGGGCGGTCATGTATCTCTTCCATGGCGGGGGGGAATATGCCTTCGTCATGCGTCCACTCTTTTGAAAATGCCCGAACGCCGGTTCTCCTTTTTGACTCCCTGCCCCAGATATGTCATATATGCGCATGCCACATACACGGCAGTGAAAGTAAACTCTCTTTTTCCTTCCTTTTTGACGTCAAGGCAGATCGTCCACGTAGGCCAGCGTATCCCTCTCTTCGTCGCACAGCCTGGCAAACTCAAGCAGCAACCGCCACACGTACAGCCTCATGTCTTCGCGCCTGAGTACCTTTCCCGCCCAATCCCTACCCTGCTCGGCGATCCATCTCGCAGCGTCATCGCCCTTGCTCTTCTTTCCCAGAACCTTGTGCACATCCCACTGCGAGGGCGCAGCGTCATCTCCGTCTGTGAAGAAGTCCAGAACGCCGTAGAGGTCCTGGAACGTGTTGTCTAGCGGGACGAAGTGAAGCCACGGCACAAGGCGGTCGTCGTGCCACTCGGCGTACACCGTCGCCTTGAGCGGCACGCTCGTCGACAGCAGAAACGCGCGGAAGCGGCCGCTGAAGCTGTACCCGTCCGCGTCGGGGAGGAATTTGCTGGAGAACTGCTCTGCCATGGGCGTCGCATTGACGACGGACAGGTGCGGTGTGAGCCAGTCGCACTCCTTCCGCCGGTCATTGCTGGGCCCGCACGACAAATGGGTGAAGCCCACGTCAGCAAATCCGGACAGGAAGTCGCCTAGACGTTTCTCGCGGCGACGCGTGGTGTTGTAACGCTCTAGAGGAGGCATGTCGAAGGTCATGGCGCGGACGTCGTTGGCCTCCATGCCACGGACGGTCGTTCCGTTGAGCATCTCGACGAGGCGCTGACGGTGGAAGTGCATCCAGTTGTCTGACTGTGTCAGACCGCCAGACCCTATGCCGCGCCATGTGAGGCGGTCGAGCTTGTCTGCCCATGCCGGGCCATGTGAGCTGCCCCCCGTGTAAGCCTCGTCGTCGGACAGGTACATGGCACCCGGGATGAGAATGTCCGAGTTGACGCGGAGCTTGGAGCCGCCGAAGAGGGGAATGAGGTCCTTTGTGGTGTTGACGTTCAGCGGCTCCACGAAAGTCCCATGGAGCGAACGTAGATGGGGTTGGACACAAGGATCTTGGGAACCGGTGAAATTCTGGACGTAGCCTTGTCGAGCAAACGGTGCCTCCCACGAATATGGCAGCGTTGGCGGCAGTGAAAGATCTGTTGCCGCGGGTACATTCCTGGAAGGGGAGCCCTCGGGGCATGCTTCACGCACCAGATCCCAGTACTTGCGACGATCGTCGCTCGTCCACTCCTTCGAGTACGACTTGCCCACGTCCGTAAGACCCTTGTAGCCGCTCGTAGCCTTGTTCTTCATAGGCATCTTGCGTCCCTTTTCCTCCTTCGCCAAGTACTTCTCCTTCAGCTTCCACGGGACCAACACGCGGGGCTCGTGCATGTAGTTGATGGGCATATCCACGTCTGGAAGATACTCCCCAAACTCGGTCACGAGCGCTTTCCACAGTTCCAGCCAAGGCCCCCTCCCCTCGATATCTCCTTCGTGCTTGGTGTCCCCTTCGTGCTTGGTGTCCCCTTCGTCCTTAGTGTCTCCTTCGCTCGCTACCTTCTTATTCCGAACCCGAATCACATGTTCCGCCGCGTTCGCCTGGCTTGCAATCGTCTTGGCTTCGACGGCCCAAAAGGGCTTCAGATCGTCGTAGATGCGGTCAAAGAACTCCTCAATGACAATCGCTTGGGTCTCCTCGGCATGGCGGAACCACTCTTGAAAGCCCGGGGGCGGGTGCCGTCCGCGCCGCTCTCGATAGCGTTGCGCGGCATTATGCAGCGTGCGGCTCCGTTTCTGGAGGACCGCATCTTGCCTCGCTCGCGCATCGTGGATCAGCCAGTCGATCGGGTTCGCGTTGGCGTCGCTCGAGTTGAACGGGTACTTGAAATAGTCGGTCGCCTCGCCGTCGGTGAACTTGATCGTGGAGGCCTTCTGAGTGATTGTGTCGCGGTAGATGTAGGAACTCGTCAGGATGAGCGACAGGATGAAGACAACCAGCACACCCTTGAGCAGGAACATGGGCGACCTGCTGGGCGGCGGCTTGTTGATTGCCTGCCACACCATGGCGACTGAGTACGAGATTTCTTCCGCTCAGTGGATGGGGAAGATCAGGTTCAGTTCACCGTGGGGGCTTCGAAGTGCGGCCGGCTTCCCATGTTCGACACCGACAGAGGAGAAGCGAAGGTCGGTCCACGAAAGCAAAGACCCTCCGTCGTCCACGAATGACGAAGGCCATATGCTGCGGGTAGCTTTCGTAAAAGGCTACGCGGCTCAGGAACCCCTTTACCAGTAGATGCGCCGCGGTGGCAGACCCTGGTTCGCTTGACGTGGGGACATAATTGCGTGGTGGGGGAGATTGCGCCGAGCCACTTTAAGTGAGTAAATTTGAACCGCAGCTGCTGTCTAAGACTCGCAGACAATGCTGGTGGAAGGCATGGCAGACCTCAATGACGAGACCGTTTGAATGATTGTGTTTGTCGAATATGCATTTCTGCTTTGTGGCTACTGGGGAAATCTGGTGGTATTGGAGCATGAATTTGAACAACTAGGTCTGACCGCTGCACGGCCCCATACCTCTCGCATTCCTCAGCGGTCGAATGAGCCTCGACACAATGGAGAAAATGCAGCGGTGTTGGGCCAATAAGTCGAGGAATCAACCATGATATCAATAGTGTAGAAACATAGTGCTTTCTGTCTATTCTGAGTTGAGGGTGTAATGAGGACGCTTATTGTTTCCCTCTGTCTGGGTGGTTATGCCTGTGTACTGGAGCACTTATATCACAGACAACGACAGCGACGATAACGATAACGAGGAGGACGATAATAACGACGACGACGACGACGACACACGAAGGCGCTGACAAACGACGACGACGATAGTCATAACAATAGTAGTAAGGACAATGACAACAGTAAGGCAGACTTGGTTATGAATCTACATGAAAATTAGTCGCTCTGGCATAGGAGAAATAGGCCGTCTCAACGAAACATCATGAACTTATCATGCCATCTGTGTAGTTACAGCAATATCACCTTCCTTTGATGCTAAAGACTTTATTTACTGCGCATCTAGTCTCTCAAAGTCAAAACTAGAAGAAGAGAATAGTCGAGAAGCAATAAGCGGAAAGGTTATCAACTCACACCATGTAGAGGAACGTTGAGTTAACTCAGGTACTGATGTCAAGGTCGCCACGCTACTAGAAGTCCTGGCCATAATCGCATTCCCCATTTTATTAAAAAAAAAAAAACAATGTATGAATCGACTAGTGAATCAAATTTGATTATGTGAGAACATCCGTGTGAGCGAAGGGCCGTTTTTGCTGCCTGGAAGCCGTTTGAGAGCCCGACAACGTAGGTGTCATTGCGTCCACCGATGACACGTCCACTTCGTCTTCAGATATCCAAATCTGAGAAACGCTACACCTTTCGCAGCCACTTGATGCCTGGCTCTTGGAGGAAAACAAACCAAACTGGTGGCAATTCGGTCTTCAAGACGTTTTTTTCTTCAGTGACTCGGAATTATAGACCTCCAATGAACATGCATGCAATAAACTGACCACATCATTGACTCCATCGGATCAACAACCCCAAGTGAACCAAGTTGGAGACCCCACACAGCTTACCTAACCACCACAGCCAAAAACCCGGACCAACCCGGCCCCCTCCAGCCAATCAAGAGCTCCGTAATGCAATATTAGCGAACCGCCCGAAAAAGAAGAGGCGAAAACCATCGACGACGTCGACCACTCGCCGACGCACGCATTCATAGCGAACTCCCCCCCGTCCTCCGCCGGCCGCACCGCCCCTCCCCTCGACGAACGACACCTCTCCACTCCATCACCGCCGCAACTTCCCCTGTCCTTCAACAAAACCTATCGTCACATTCAAAGATGCTTTCCTCCACGAGGACAGCGGCCTCAATGGCCCTGCGAGGTAAGCCTTTGCCCCGGCCCGACACCCGAGCGCCCGAAAAGAAACTCCCTCGCGGGAATCCCACGACGACGACGAAGACCGATACCCCCAACCACAACCCAAACGCCATCACACCCGCCCACAGCACCTCAGGATGAATACCAAGAGCGATTGCGATAACGTGAATGGACATTGCTGACCTCAATTGGCACCCGTAGCGAGGCCGACCACGTCCCTCATGCCCATCCGTGTTGCCGCCGCCTCCATCTCGAGCTCGTCACGAAAGGACGCCAGCTCCGTCACGCCGCACTCTGCCAGCGGTCTCATCAAGAAGGAGCGCAAGGAGGTTCCCCTGCCCAGCCAGGAGCCCACCAAGGGCGTCTTGCAATATGCTCTGTACGCAAAACCACCCCTCATCACCACTATCCATCCCCCACAACTCTACCTCCACGACCGCAAGAATCTCCCTACTCGCCACATCACCAAACACCTTCTTCCGTCCGCGCCAAACTAATTCGCACCTTCTAGCACCTCTCTCGACGTAATAACGAACTGGGCCCGCCAGTCCTCCCTCTGGCCCATGACCTTCGGTCTCGCCTGCTGCGCCGTCGAGATGATGCACCTCTCCACGCCCCGATACGACCAGGACCGTCTCGGCATCATTTTCCGCGCCTCCCCGCGTCAGTCCGACGTGATGATCGTCGCCGGCACCCTCACAAACAAGATGGCCCCCGCCCTACGCCAGGTCTACGACCAGATGCCCGACCCCCGCTGGGTCATCTCCATGGGCTCCTGCGCCAACGGAGGCGGCTACTACCACTACAGCTACTCCGTCGTTCGCGGCTGCGACCGCATCGTCCCCGTCGACGTCTACGTCCCCGGCTGCCCCCCGACCTCCGAGGCCCTTATGTACGGCATCTTCCAGCTCCAGCGTAAGATGCGCAACACCAAGATCACCCGCATGTGGTACCGCAAGTAGATTATTTGCCGTCTGTTCCATGGGTGGTTTATGCGTGGTGGGGTGCCGGTGCGTGAGGAAAATTTGGGCGTGGCCTTTTGGCCACTAAGCCATTAGAGACGGAGCGAAGAGAGAAGAGATGATCCTACAGGAGAGAGGCTGATATGCAAAATGGCATCCATTGGGTGAGCATCCGGGAGGCTGGGCTTTCTTTCTTTTGTATGCGTGTGCGTCTGTGTACATATGCGGAGGATCCATTCGGTAGACAAGCCGCGGATGGATTGTAGATTAAACAAGTTCTGCTTCCACGATCACTTTTTTTATGACCTGTGGCCGCTGTGACAAAATCTGTTCCGAGGGTGGCGTTGTGGTGAATACTTCGGCTGGGAATGGCATCCTGGGGACCGAGCCTTTCGAGCTGGTAAATAAGGTTGAAGCACCCCCAGGTAGTTCCACGCAATCCAAAAACAAACATCACTGACCTTGGCAGAATTGGAAGACCACCTACACGGCAAAAATACTGCCCGAAGGGTCGATGCAGAACAATTAAAATTCCACAAGTCCATGTGATGTGTATATATAACTACCTATATGTCTGATGCGGTTACACATTGGAGTTGTGATGCCCGTAATAATCAAATACGTCGACGCCCTATGGCAAGCTCGTTCCCGCCTCTTGCCCTTGGAGGCTCCGTATGGCTACAGCTTTTCCAAGGCAAGCATTATCTCCTTGCTGCGACGCACTTCGCAGTTTTCTAGGTTACCCATGCAAATTCGCCGCACCCAAGGAGCTTTTGGTACAACACAGCCTATTCTTCCACGCTCTTGCTCGCTCTCTTTCGATCTCTTGACTCGAACGGCTTCGTCGTCTCATCGTCACTTCCTCGGCCCTCCACATATAGAAAGGAGAAAGAGAAGGTTTATTCCAAATATCCCTAACCGCACGCCGAACTTCCGAATGAAATTGATGCTGCAGAATTCACATAAACGACAGCTCCGGGCCGGTCCATTGCCATGACGCGTGACCATAAGGCATGATGCAAGTCTTGAGCCTACGTCGAACCGGATAACAATGAGGATCGCAATTTTCGGACAGGCTTCTGCTTGCAACTACTCCTGGCCAAAGCCCATGGTCTCCTCAACGGCAATGGTGAGCTTCTGCTGCAGCATCTCGAGGCTCTTGTACGGCGGCAAGTCCAGACGGTTGAAACTATGTATGGGTTAGCGACGAATATCGGCTGCGAAAATAACAACAGAGCTTACCATGTGTGGGCCTTCGGAAGATTGTTTATCTCACCCGCCTTCTCAATAGTAAACCTTCTCGGTCCATCGCTTCCCTGGAGATCCTTGAAACCGTTGACCGGAATACGTGATGTACCCGTAGCAAATTGGAGCAGACGCGATTTCTGCTCTCCATCCCAGGAGCGAATCGTCTGCCAGAAGAACTGAATGACCTCGTCAGACTCAGTGTATCCGCGGTAGTCAGTGTGCTTCTTCCAGTCATCGACGTCGATCTCCGCAATGCCACCGATGAGCAACTCAAGCTCACGCTCATCAAAGACGTTGATAAGGTCCTGAGGGATGAGCTCGTGGAAGCCATCCTTGAAGGCTTGGAACTGCTCCGCGATACGCTTCTCGATTCTCCACTTGACCATAAGATCAACGTATTCCTTCTTGTTCTCGTTCGTGACGTCAATGTTACGTCCGTTAGGAATGAGATCCTCGACGGTCATGACACCGAAGCGCTCGTCTTCTGTAGAGAACGTCTGCTCCAGGATACCGCCAGAAATGTCATTGTCCAACATCCACTGCAACGAACGGTGGAAATCGGCATCAACACCCTCCATGTCGGCGAGAACGACCGACTTGCCAAGAATCATCTTGTACAGGGCACCGATGAAGAACGCGTCGAGGAAACGACGGTGGAAAATGGCCAATCCAACGACACGGCCGATGAACTTGAAGTAGTTCAGGTGCTCCGGGTTGATGCCGGAGTGGGGGTTGATCTGGAGGGTATAATTGTCGTGGGCGGAGTACTCGAAAAGGCAGTAGAAGGGGTTGAACATCTCGTGGGAAAGGAGGAAGAAGAACTCTCTGGACAGACCACCGTAATCCAGACCATCTTCTCCGTCAAACTTGATCATTAAACGCTTCTTCAAATCAGTAGCAGACTGCCGAGTGATCTCTGCGAAAGAATCCTCGAAAATGTGGGAGCGCCGCACCTTGATGTGGCACTGGCCGGACAAAATGCGCATAGCGGGCTGCGAGCGGAAGTAGATAAGCTTCCTTCTGAAGTCTCGCTTGTACTGAGGCACGTTCTGGTCCAGGGATGATGGCAAGCGGGGGTCATCCCAAGTTGTCGTCTTTGTGTTGTGGTCCACAAAGTACACTCTTGCTGTGTTGGTGAGGCGCATTTCCCAACCGCTAGGCAGAGGTCCCAATTGGGATACGGGCTGTTGCTGAATGGTGCCATTTGTGTTGTTCTGGCCGCCATACATACGGATGTATTGCTGGCGACGAGGGTCCACCCAGGTGGTAGTCCGGGTGTTGTGGTCCACGAAGTAAGGTCGTCCCTCCGGCGTCCATCTCTGTTCCCAACCGGGAGGCAGCTCGCCAGTACCCGGGCTCGTGGCGCCGGTATGCATCATCGTGGCATTGTTCGCGTTCTGCTGGGCCGCTTGTTGCTGGGCCTGGAGAGTCGGGGAGTTTGCACCGGTGCGGTCCTCGGGAAGCGTTCGGTTCTGATGTCTCTGGCGTTCCACTTGGGTTGCGTTTTCACGCTCGTTTCTCTGTTCCACAGCTCCGGTAGCAGTAGGTCTGTTCCAGCTAGTCGTTCTCGTGTTATGATCAACGTAATATGTCCGTCCCAGATTATCCTCCCGGCGTTCCCATCCCGCTGGCAGTCGGCCTTGCGCATCTTCAAACGGGCTGAGAGTACTGGCGGTGGTTCTCGCGGGAGCTGCGGCTCCATTTGCAGCAGGCGCAGGTCCGGTTGACGTCATGCTAGCCGGGCGGTGCGGTAGATTGACTTGAGAGCCAGGAACCGGCCCCCCGTTGGGAGCCCCCATGGCGGAGCCCGGTCTGCCGTCGGGCGGCGGGGCGGAGAGCGACGAAATGTTTGATCCTTGAGCGGGCGGGACGAGAGAGGGACGACTGGACGAGGCCTGGCCAGCGCGAGCGGGTGTAGAGAGGTTCGTAGAAAGGTTAATTATTAGTTTTCCGTGGACAACGAGGTTGTCGGTCGACTTTTTCAGGTCTCGCGTGAGCATCTGGTCTTTACGGCGGGAAGCGGGTTAGTCACGTCCTACAGGATGAAACAAGCTGACGAGGGGAAGAGCGTTACCATCTGCGTCGGGTGCCAATTCGATAACATCGCCGATTCTAACGTTAATGACGCCGAGAAATCCTTGATCCTTCTTCTTGAACTTCTTCTGGTCAAATACTTGGACGGCGAGAATGGTGTCTTCATTCACGTGGCTATGGTTTGTCAGCGATGATGCTTTGCACGAGACATGTCCGGAGCACTACGCACAGGTCGAAGCTCTCGTTCCAGTATGGGTTCAACGTCCGCTTTTGAGCCGTTGTAGTCTTGGTCTGGTCTCCGTTGACGGTAATGACAGCGAAGGGATCCGGGAACCCTGTCGACGGTGTTAATCAACATGGTGAAGTACGATGGGAACGAGGACTACGTACGGAAGACATCTCGCTTGTAGAGGCCATCTGCGGCGATGACTGTGTCGAAGTTAGCAATTGTCGATGCAGCGCGGGGAGCCGACGCGGAGATGACGAACTCGTTACTCGAAGATTGGGCTTGCGGCTACGGGTGACAGTTAGTTATCGTTATGCTTCCCGGCTTTGATGACATCGGAATGACCAGAGTCCATGAAGATGGGTCCGGCCAAGCAGGAGCAAACTTACTTGGGTTGCCCGGCATCATTGCGGGAGGAACTCATTTCGTCGCAGGATGTCCAGCGACAACGGTATCAACTCCCAGAATATTTGTCGTGTCCAGACGAGAGTCGCCCAGTGTTGGAACAGGTGAGGGGTCACGAATGATCTGCGGAACTTGTTTGAGGATACCGGTTCGCGATCGTACGGGGTAGGTCTGGCGTCGGTCGAGGACGGGATGCACGCAGCAAAGGTGTGTAGCGACGGCGAGATGATGCGAACGGGAAGGGAGGTTGACGACGACGGCAAAGGCAGAGCTGAGGCTGTGCTGTGCTGTGCAGTGCAGAGACCCCCCGCTTCGAATAGCCAAGTGGGCTGGGTTTTTGGGGTTCCTCGGGGCTACGGTGGATGATAAGGTGACGCGGCGGCGGGCGGGAAGCCCGAGCGAAGGGCCAAGTTGGTTTGTAGGTAAGGTATGGTATGCTAAAGATGCTTGGGCTGGTATCGGGCCAGCGATGGTCAGGCAGAGCGAGGAGAACGAGGGGTTTTCTCGCCGATCAAGTCGTGCGGTGAGAGAACGATTCGCCGACCGGATTCGAACGTTTGCAGAGGGAGATTGGCGATGGGAAGTCGACAGAATGGAGCGAGTTTGGTGTTTTGGTAGTCGCCCCCGTCTGAGCGCTTGTCAAACGGTATGTGTGTGCGAGTGGGTTATTGTCTCCGGTCGGAAGTGCGCAGTGAGGCAAAGAAGGTTGTTAGGAGAGATGCGGGAGGTGAGGTAGGAGGTGGGTAGGCAGAGCGTCCTGTCACCAGTCAGCGGCCACAGGTAGGTAGGCAGGCATAGAGAGGGACACAGAGGCAAGAGGAGCCTTGGCCCGTCCCGCAGCTGGGTGGGTACCTTAGGCAACCTGGAAGTACCCCGGGCCTACCTCAGGTACCTTTTCGTCCACCAGCGTTAGCAGGGAGCCCATTCAAGTAGTGGAGGGCCCTGTATCTTTCTTAGCTGCAGCCGCCGTACAAAAGACACCTACGTTCACAGGTATGGAGTCAGGTAGGGTAGGTAGGTAACATTGGCAGCAACTATTGCGGTGGTGGTAGGCCCCAGGTGTTTGGTAGACTCAGTTGCAGACAGCAGGGGAGGTAGGCAGGTAAGCGCAGGTGAGTTGAAAGAGACTTGGAGCAGGCGACTGGAGGCAACTTGGGGAGCATGGCATGGCTGGCAGTGCAAATGGCGAATTCACTCCATCTGTTCAGTCTTCTGCCCGAGTTGTTAGGCGTCGGCGGGGCTTCAAGGTAGCCATGGAGTACCTCTGGCTTGAGAGAGTTTGAGAGATATGTACATCTATCTAAGAAACTGCTCGCTGTGCTGGTCACTTGCTCTCGATTCTGCTTCAACACATCCACTGCTTCTCGAAAGGTATCTCGACATCAGTATCAGAGGAGGGGCTGTTCTCAGAATAGGTCCTGGGGATTGCCCCAGAAGGCAGGGCCTGCAGATTGCTGGGTGGATGACAAGCACATCCAAAGGCACGGCTGGCCATAAGAAGGTGCCGGGGCAGGTGAGATACTACAAAATGTGCCTCGGAGAAGCATGCTGTTGGTTGGTGATGGGATTCTTGAACTGTAGACAATCTTACCAGGCGGGAGCACGTTACCTGCAAAGTGTTCCGCAGACTGCACCGCTGTCTTCCCTGATTGTACTGGCCTGCCTCTATTCTTATCCACCGCTGCAACCAGTCAGTCAGTCAGTCCCTCGACATCGACACGGACATCGACATCGACATCGACATCGGCCCAGGCTCGCACTCAAATCCACCTTCCGTAAGCCCCTGTCCGCTGTCGTTGTCGTCGTCGTCGCCCGTCTTCCTGGCTCCCTCCCTCTTCCCGTGGTAGCGGCGCCCTGGGGAATCCTGTACCTGACGTAGTGCTTCAGAAACAGGTCGACTGCCCCTCCTTGCAACATCCATCCCGCGCGCTGTGGCTTAGCCACGCAACCGGTGACAACCGATGCGAGGAAAGCAAGTACCTCACCTTAACCGCAGTCACTAAGAGCGACATCCCGTCGCGACCAGGGCAGAAACCATCCGTAGTGCACCTAGCTCTCAGCTCATCACCGCAAGCTATGCCGAACGAAAAGCACACCTCAGGTTCGAAGCAGACAAAGGGCGACAGGCCGCCTGCTTAAACGCTGTTCCCAATCGTGTTTCGGATGCTCGTCTTAGATGCAAGAGAGCTGCCAAATACCCCCATCGTCCCCTTGCCTGACATGACCTTACCTTGACTTTCGCTACCCCCCGCCAAGCAAACACAGGGTACTTCATGTTTGCACACGGTACCATCCGGTTTGAACGGTGCGGTACCCTGACGATTGCCCTTGCCGTGCTCCCAGCCCAAGAGGTCTTGGTAGGCCCCTCAGTTCGGGCCGTCCACCAAGATCTAGAACCTCTGAGCGAGCGAAGCAAGCACCGGTCTCTCTCTTTACATAATCTTTCGTGGCGAATTCAATCTTCAGGGCCAGAATTTTCCATCAGTCTGGCAATGTCACAAGGGCTCTCTTCTAATCAGTGCTAATCAACAAATCATCAATCATCCTAGGCAAAAAAGGCATTTCTCATACGGCTGTCAACATTAGAAAGCAACACCCTACACAGACAGACTCGTTCAGCACCGCTGCTGGCTACTGCCCTGGCCGGCCCTGCTTTCTTGGCCAAAGGGATCAAGGCATGTACCGACAGTGAACCCAAACCAGAAACAGCGCATTGTTCCTCGTCCCATCAACGCCCTCCCTCCATCCTCCCGAACCTCATGCGCCGCCGGTGTGCGCCCTTCCATCAGCAAGCAAAACCCCCCATAATTGTCCCGTCCGTCCCAGCATGAGCCCTTGAACCAGAAGAAAGCAAGAGAGCTCATGGTCCTCAGGAACAGAAAGGGACGCCCAAGGCATTCGAGCACATCCAACCCGCAAATCGCCCTTAGCATGATAGTCGTCCGGCACGTTCAGCCCGTCCCCCCTCCCCTCCGGCCCCCTCCCCAGGCGCCATCCATCCATCATCGGGGCCATCTATCGTGTGTGCCATAAATAACATAACCTTGGTGACAAAAACGAGTGCTTCGTCCTATCGCAAAAGTCCCTCTCCTTCCTAAACCAAGCAAGACGTACGGGAAAGCGAACCATTTCCTGCCCTCAACTTCACCCAATGAGAACCGCGGTCACGGCAGCGGCTTCACATACATCTAGCAGCACGTGCCGCAGACATACTTGACGCTGCGTCCAATCCTTGGTATGAAAAGTGCACCATCTTTCTTACCCCGGCCAGGTGTTAGTTAGCCTACCGCTGAGCATTTCCAAGACGATCTCGCCCCAGGTAGTCAGTTCCAGGCCGTACAAAATCCAGTAGCCCTGGGAATTGAGGCCCCCTAAGGTAGTGTAGAGAACAGGCCGCAAATACATCCCCAGGGCCGTGTGTGTCAGCTGGCAGATGGGGACTCCCGCGACATGTCAGCGACTCTCGTCCGGCAAGCCTGCGCCCCGCCCGGATCGGGCGACGTCGTGGGCCACGCGCGGAAAGGCGGCACCGCTAGGCTCGTCCGTCCTGTCTCGTGGCGTTCCGACCGTGCGGATACTACGCGATTAATCGTTTGGTGTTCCATGACGCTTCTTGACCCCTGTTCATGGTGTTTACTGCACATATTCGAACGCTGTCCCCCTTGTATAGGGTTACAGTCCGTTCGATCCGCGTTTGGTGTCGAGATCTGCTTACAATGAACGAGCGTAACCGACCGACTCCGGGGTTGACGGTTCACATCTGGATCGATCTCGAGCCATTAACGCCAGATGCAAGACCATCTGGATGACGCAGTCGTAGATCATACAACGTTTGTAACTGGAACTTGGATTCACTGAACTGAAAACCTATCGACTCTGTGTGTTTGCAGAGGTCTGACCTATCCCTGAACGCCTTGTTGAGCTTCCCTTGCCCTACCGGATCCTGTATGGTACAATCGAATTGCAGTCCTGTCGGCGGCCCAGCCCTCACGGGGCCGAGGCCGGGGCCGCAGGTCGAGGCTTCGAGGGGTACACCCCGGCATCCTAGTACGGGGAGTATCCGCCTCTTCCTCGGCCACGGTAACCTCCCCGATAGCCACCACCGCGGGGAGGGAATCCACCACCACGGCCGCCGAAGCCGCCGCGACCTCCACGGAATCCACCGCGACCGCGGCCTCTGGACATACCAGGGACGTTGGTCCGCTTGGGAACAACCTTGATGTTGCGACCCTTGAAGATGCTCTCGTTCAGAACGAGGGCCTGGGCAACAAGGCTGGGCTCGGTAAACTCGACGTAGGCGTACCTGTGCGAGAGCATGTTAGCACATTGCTGCTTCCAACCGCGGCTAGCCCTGCAGGGCGTCAAGAGATGCAAAACACGTACCCCTTGGGTTGTCCGGTGAACTTGTCCAGCAAGATGGTAACGCGGTTGATGGAGCCGCAGCTCTGGAAGTGCGCCTGAATCTCCTCGGGGGAGGCGGAGTAGTCAACGTTGCCGACGAAGATGCTGCGGCTGTCGACGTCTTGCTTGTCGTCGGTGTTGAGGTCTTGGGCCTGCTGGTTCAGGCTCGCTTGCATCTCGCGCAGCTTGGCCGCCTCCTCTTCCATCTCGGCGACACGTCGCTTCATTGCCGAGATTTCCTCCTCCTACGTTCATCATCTTGGTCAGTCTAACCTCCTCTTACTACGCGAAGCCTAAGGGCCGTAGAAGGCTTATTGTCTTTGCGCACCTCATCGTGGTTGTTCTCATCGTCGGCGACGCTGTTGTTCTCGGCGCTGTGATCATCCACAGGCTTGTCCTCGGGCTTGACGTCCGCCATGGCTGCGGTCTCTGGTGATTTGAAAACGATGCAAAAGCGTCTGGAAGAGGAATGTTAGTGATGATGTTTGGGGAAGCTTCAGAGATGGCTGAATCGTGCGCCAAGGCAGAGACGCGCCAGTAAGGCGACCGGCAGCCTTGGGAGGGGTTTCCTAGTAGGACTAGCTCCTGCTACGGTTATGCGGCGGCCAAGGGAGGGAAGGTACTCACGACTCTGGCAACTGCAGGAGCAAACTCTTGCCCTGCGTTGGATGGATGAGCAGCTGCTTGTGCAAGGTAGGGAACGGATTGAAGCCGATGGCGAGGCGGACGAGGCGAGGCGAGGTGAGGCAGACGTCCGTCGAAAGGTATCCAAGGTTCGAGTCCAAAAATGGCCAGGGAGATTGGTCCACGGTTTAGCCGGTGGCGCCCCGATAAGACCGATAAGAGCTTCCTGATCTCGATCTTGCACAAATGTGGGTTTGGAGCTGTCTGAGCTTGGGAAGCTGGAATGGAAGGGGGGACGTTGAAGATATTGGGTTCAAGCAGAAGATATCTCCAAGTTGAATATGTGGTTTCTAGATGACGTTCAACTGGCAGCACCGTTATGCGTACAGGTCGGTTCGGCTGGTTGCCAGCTCCTTGCTCAAGCACCTTGTCCAGCGGGGTCGTGGAGCTCACAGGGTAAGATACAGCTACAGCTGCAGTGGCGTGCACCTGCTGTTGCTGTGTAGGTACTTTGAGCTCCATACTGAAGTCAACCACCTTCAGGACCTTTCACTGTTGCCCACCTCTCTCAGCAAGACCTCTACCTAAATTGTTTCAGAAACATGGCAACAAACCCCAGGATATGCTCTCAGAAAGGCCTTCACCCTGGCGGTATGCGAGCATTTTGCTTGGTAAGACGGTCGCGCCCCTTGCCAGGCAGATGCCACACAAGTTCCTGTCTCCCTTGGACCAGATTCATATTTAGAGCTCTGCTCTTCGTTGTCTTCGAAGCCGACGGAGCTCTTTGCCATGATTTGTGTATAAGGCAGCTTCATTTGAGCAAATCAGGCACCGAGGCCCCCTTTCAATGTTCTGGTTTGACGACAAATCAGTGGCCTTTGGGCTTTTGTCTTTCTCATTCCCGTTGCATTGCCATCCACGTTTCGCTCTCCGACATCCATGCTTTCTGGCTCGGTGGTAACGACCTAGGGTTGACCTTCGCTGAATTTCTCTCTCCCATGCTATAGAGAATTGAATGTATATCAAATTGGCTCGGCATCTTCAATATCAACCTTCTAGGATTCAATGCCCAAACTTACGTCATGCTCCAACCCTGACCACGTTACATTGCAAATTCCCACAGGTGCTGTCATAGCGGGGGAGCGCATGTTTGCGATCGACCAAAAGAGCGCCGAGCCATTGCTGGCCTCTGGGCACTCACAATAAGATCGCATCTTGCATCGCCCCCCAACCTTTGATCCCCCAGTCGCCCCGAGTCGCCCGTCCTCCGCTACGGGGGAGCCCCGAGAGCGCTCCACAGCCCCGGCGGTTCGGGAGGACGAAGCGAACAACAAACGGCAACTGCGACGACGAATTACAGACAAAACATCGGAGCTCATCGGCACGACGAGAACCGAAGCCACCCCATCCATCCCCCGGAGCCTCGTCCTCGTGGCCGGATAGCCGGTCTGAAGTTCGCAAACTTACCTGCCAAGGAGGTTGGTGCTGCACTTAGTCAGCCCTTCAGGACCCCGTGGTTCGCCTGTCCCGTCGTCGTCGCCCACGTGTGACGTCGCCGAAGACACACTGCGTCAGCAACCGCATCGGCGGTCCCGGCCCAGCACCATCACATTTGGGCTTCCTTCTCAGCCTTCTCATTTTCTTGCGCCGCGCGCGTGAGCTTCCTACTCTACAGGGTCTCCGTCCAGATAAGGCTGCGACCGCGTCGCCGAGAGAAACACACGAAACATATCACTACGGAAATCAAATCTCGCCATTTTCTCGCCGTTCCGAATGGTCGGAGAAGGCGACGCCTGAAACTGCAGCGATGGCGACCGACGAGGAGGAGGCAATCCGGCCTCTACTCTGGAGCTTCAGCGGGTTTCGCGAGACCAACCGGCCGGCTCCCCTCAGGCAGCATCTCACGGAGTCCCGTACCAGCCTCAAGGACATCCTCTCGTCTCGCACGAAGCACTACGCCGTGCTCGCGCTGGTGTCGCTGGACGTGGCAGCGCTGTTGGCCAACATCTTCATCGAGCTCGTCGCCTGCGACATGAAGCGCGAGGACGAGCCGTGGGTCAGAGACACGCGCGAAGGGCTGACGATCGCTGGGCTTGTGTTCAGCTGCATGTTCATGATCGAGCTGATGCTATGTGTGTTTGCCTTTGGTCTCCGGTAGGGTTTCTCAAGGCGCTTGACGTTGCGGCATAACTAACGGCCACCCCAGGTATTTCAAGGATTGGTTTCATCTGCTCGACGGAGTCGTCATCATAGCAAGCTTTGTGATTGACGTGTTGTCGCATGGCATCGTTGAGGAGATTGCTTCGCTCGTCATTGTCTTTCGGTTGTTCAGGTTCGTCAAGATCGTCGAGGAGATGAGCATGGGCGCGGCGGAGAGGATGGAGGGCTTGGAAGCGCAGCTGGAGGTCTTGAAGAGGGAGAATGGGGAGATGAAGAGGCAGCTGAGCCGGCGATAGGCCCGAGATGTAGCTGGCTCCGGTTCCGGTGGCGGCCCGTTTACCGGCCCTTAAGATGAAGATCCCCGGCTGTGGTTAATGTGTCTAATGATAATGAACGATGCAGCAGGAGAAGGGCGTCCAGGCCAATTTGAGCGTTGTGGCTTGGTTTAGTCATGAATAATACCCGACGAATCGGATGTGTCTGTCTTGCCTTCGGACCTAGATTAACAACCTTAAGCAGCGAGCCGTGATACCTTCGGGATACCATTTGATAGGTCGTCTCCTGTCGCGCATCCAGACCCGTAGAAGGACAGGGCATGGGTGTTTAAGAAATCTGCAGATATCCGTATTTCTAAGGAGAGCCGCAATTGGAGACAGCGTGCCATCTTGAACCGCAGCCTTCGAACGAATCGTTGGCGTAGACAGTGAATCGCCAGTCTCGATCCGACTGCATCACTCAGATTCCCGGTCTCGGCGGGCCCTCGGTGGCAGTTGCAGCGGGGAGTGGCGCATCGACGGAGGCTGCCTCCGCGATGCAACGCCAGCCGCCCCGGCAACTACAATGCAGTACTGCACCTCGTATTTGCGACCTTGGACAGACAAACGAGGGGGGAGAAAGCAGGCGTGGTGGCTGGACAGACTAAGTGAGTGGTTGGTTCTGTGAGACAACATCCCCAACGTCACCTCTTCATGAGTTAGTCCACGCAGAAAACGAAGACTTGCATGAAGCGGATACCCTGTATATGCGGAGGAGCAAGAATAGCAGCGGCCAGGGCAAGTGCGCCACCTAGACCGTCAGCAACGGGGCGGCAGAGAGGGGGACCAACACGACAGACGAACAAGCAGCGTCTTGGTTTTGCTGGAGTCTCTGAAATCTAGCCTGCGTTCACGTATGACTGGTACCGGAGTCTAGAACCTTGGGTAGAGAATTTCGACTGCGGTTCAGACGGCTTCGTTGCATGCTTGCCTGTAGCCATTAGTGCCACAGCCAGGATCGGAATCTTGTCATTGAAGAAAATGTCTAGAACTCTTGGAGAGAAATTCCACGACGTCAAACTACCCGCACGCCTTAGCAGTCGATCGAACAACCAATACCCATGATATGGAAGAATGCGAGTGGCGAATCAGCAGGGCCAGAATAACCGGGGCGCAGCGAGCCTTGGGGACAACACGAGAAACACGACGCTGGACACGACACGAGCCACAACACCATCCAGCAAGCTGCCCGAGGCCCAAGGACGACACATTTTGCGGCCGGACCGGACCAGTCAAAAAGCAACGCGGTGTGTTATTTCATATTTGCCCGAGAAAAGCACACGAGCTGAAGAAGCATTATTGGGATCAGGCAGACGTAGGCCGTAATCCCAATTATTGCCATCCCCGACAGCCGTGCGCGACCTTCTTCGACAGGGTCAAAGCTACAGGTAAAACACCAGACGACAGGCGACGGCCGCGTCGTCTGAGATCAGATGTCCATGCATGCATCCATCGCATTCTGCCATGCAGGAGGAATATCTGATGGACGTTGACGGTTGACGTTGAACGATTCGTGTTGTGCCTCTGTAGAGAGATATTTGCACTCGCATTGCATCCGTCTCTCCATGGCAGCACAACACGACTCTTCTCCAACCAATACGGACATGCCGCCACGGACGGCACTTGCATCTCGGTGTAACCCCATCCTTCGAAGGTCGTCTTCGAAAGCCGCACGCCCCCCCTGGTCCAATTATTTGCTGTCCCCCTTCTCTCTTGGCCCGCGGGAAAGAAAAGGAAAAAAGGGCCAACCAGGGGCTTTTGGCCCAGCTCCCGACCAATCACCAGTCTGCCATATCGGGGCTGGCCCCCTAAGATTAGACTTCATCTCGACGTCCGGGCCCCATGTTCGCATGGCCCGTTTTTCGAACCTCGTTTTCCGTCGGCCGTTCTGCTGTGCGTGGTGCTCCTTCTCTCCGTTTCTGTCATATCGAACCATCACCACTTCTGGTTCTGCACAGTTGCATTGGACCAGAGTAAGCTCTCATAACAAAGCTGGTCGAGGGGGGTGACGAGGCAGGGAGACAGATGGCAGGCTTTGGGGAAGGGGACCAGACGGCCTAGTCTCAGCCCCGAGTCGTCGGTTCCTTTGCCAACAATTTCTAGGCATTCCCCCGTTTTCCTATCAAAGAAACCCCAAGAACCCGATTCGATTCTCCAGAAACACCCGTCTTTGGGGCTAGGAAGCTGAGAAACACAAAGGACGCGCGCGGTGCGCGCAACGGCGTCCGTCCCTTCCCGCAGAGCTCAAGCAAGGATGGGCAGATGCGGTGGTGGTATCCGTAGCAGCAACCAGCTGCTCTTTCACAATCAAAAGTGGGAAGATCTGGGCTGGGGTTAGGCATGTCATGGTACGGATAATGGCATGGGAACTCCAGGTTGGTAGGTCACCAGCATCTTTTGATGATTTGACCCTTCCTTCTTTCTACGCATGTCTCCAGACCGCGGCCTCCTGCTCCTAGAGTAGATGCTCGGTCTGGATTTGATTCAGTGGCCCCGTCTCGCTTCTCTTCCTCCTCAATGCTCCTGTAACCGTCTGACCGGGGCTTGACGCCATCACCATGTCCGTTCCCCCCAAATCCACTCTCCTTTTCCTGACGAGCTGCAGAGGACGGAAGGGGTACCACACCACCTGCACTGCACACTCACAGTCGCCGCCGCTGCTGCTACCCTCTCTTCCCATCCATGGGTCGTTCGTTAGCCTCATCAATCTCCATCACTCGACTGTCAACCCAGGCCCAAGACGACCCCTGGAGAGACCCGCTCATAACCCGTAAACCCATCACTCTCCTCCACTCGCGTTGGTTCCTCGGCCGGAGAAAAAAGCCCTCTTGTCCTTCTGCCTTCCTCTTTCTCCGTGTCTCGCGGCCTCTCTCTCTCTTTCTCTGCCTGTCTGTCTGGCCCATCAGGCCTTTGGTCGTCCATTCGCTAGCGGCGCGCGCCACCGTTTCCCCCCCTCGGCCTAGTCAGTGTAGTCCTCCACCCCCCTTCCCCTCGCTGGTTTCTGCGCGATCCTCGTTCTAGCTCCTTAGTCCCCGTCTCGCCCACCCCCAGTAGATGCAGCGAGTGAGAGTGAAGAGTGAGCGACTGGGAACGCGACCGCCCACGCCCCCCAGGAAGATCAATACGGATACAACGTTTTTTTTGTGATGAAATTGCCTTGCCTGGGACTCCCCTAATTTACTTAATATTCCTCTTGCCCATCCCACCATCCATCTCTTGAGTTCTCTTTTCCTTCTCCCATCCCTCTACCGTAATAGCATCCACGAACCCACAGCTTATTCCCCGTCCTCCCCGACCCAAACAACCTAATAAGCTACGATCCCTCTCTGAGGTTCATCAAGTCACTCGCTATCTACACGCAAGCAAGTTTTCGGACTACGCATCACACTCGTTGGATATAACAACTGTCGTTACGACCACAAAAACAAAGTTTACTCTTAATAATCGGATTCCTCGGAACACCACACTCCACCACAACAACCGTCAAGATGCAGTTCTTCCTCCCCATCACCCTCCTCATCGCCGCCGTCGCGGCCCAGGACACCAAGTGCGCCGCCGAGCCCATCGTCGAGACCTGCCTGTCCTCCGAGAACGCCAAGGTAAGCTTTCCAACATCCATTGAGCGTAGAGACGCGGCTCTGCTCTTGTGTATCACAACAAACAACTAACACTTCCCCCTCTAGGTCGAGGCTTGCTCCGCCACCGACTACGACTGCCAGTGCGCCGCCTACCAGGCCGTCGCGACCTGCTACAACAACTGCCCCAACGACGCCCGCGCCTCGCCCGCCCAGAACCAGGTCACCATCTTCTGCCAGCAGGCCTCCCTCTACGGCTCCGCCGCCCAGCGCAAGACCGCCTCCGCCGCCTCCTCCGGCTCCGCCACCGCCGCCGTCGCCTCCAACTCCGCGACCGCCACCCCTACCACCGGCAGCTCCGCCTCCGCCACCGCCTCCGTCTCCGCCACCAGCACCCCTAACCTGGGTGTCGGCCAGCTCGCCCGCAACACCGGCGGCGTCCTCCTCGCCGTCGCCGGTGTCGTTGCCGCCGTCCTCTAAGCGATTTCTAAGCTAGAGAGGAAAGCCAATATATCATTACAATTCACACAAACGTCTTATTTTCAAGCGATAATGTTACACGCGGTGCAAGGCCATCATTTGGAATGATTCACATGGGGACTGGGACGGGACTATGTTTTCCTCCCGGCAAACAAAAGGAGGCTGCTTCAGCATTGCCACTTCTTAGGATAAAAAGAAGCAGGGAAGATAGCGACGACGGCACGGGGTGATGATTTCACCAAAAACCTGTTGTACATGGTTTAGAATCTTTGTAATTACCTAATCCAGCGGAATTTCATGAGCAAGAAGAACATGGGATGACAATGAACCAAAAGACAAAGAACACGCACGTGAAGAGAGGACAGGGACACCCGAGTTTGCCCATCAAACGGGAAAGAAACACCAATCATTCATCGCATCAAAACTCTATCTAGCAATGGCCCTTGCGTCCACCCGTGTCGTCCTTGCAGAGAGACAGAAGAAACGAACCCGACTCCCGGACTCCGAAAAAGCTTCGTTGATTGATTCGGGTGCCCTTGCACACATGCAATGGCCTGCATCTTCCCGAAGACTGCCACCGTCGCTGATTGGGCCACACACACTCACACACAACGCACTACGCGCCGCTGTAGGGTAATAAAGACACAGTAGTATCCGTAGAGAGAAACAAATATTGGAGATGTGTTGACTCAGCAACATTCTTCTGAAACATGGCAAGAATCTAACCTGCACATTGACTTGCGTGCCGGTTTGCTCGCGCATTCCCCACCCGCAGCAGCAAGGAACCATCCTGCATGTGCTTATTGTCTCATAAGCAAGGCCTCTCTCCGGAATACCTATGCTACAGCGCGGGTTCGCGGACGTGAGGGCGCCGAAAGAAAAGTGAGGGCGACGACTCGTCTATGTTATAAGAAACCTGCTGGGCACGAGCAGGGAACCAGAAACATAGTGCGCGATATGTGCAACAAAACAAGACAATTACTTTATTGCTTCAATGCAATCATTGGGTTTTCTCGTTTGAAAATGGTGGAGAGTATCCATCTGTTGGTGATCTTCATAAACGTCTGGGGCATCTCAGGGATGGCTGTTGGACGGCCAAGCCCGGCCCAACGTCACCGGTGGAAATGCGCCAAAGTCAATGGCGCACCAACTACCAAGAACTGAAGACATGTCACGTGCGAACTGATCGGATGAATGTGTGGTTGCTCAACGTGAGCTTGTTATCATCATGTTTTTCATCAAGCCTCTTTCTCCAATCGCTATGATACAACACGGGTGTCCTTGAATCCTACAGCTGTCTTGCTAGCGTTGCATCCCCTCATGGGAGACTCTCCATCATTCGTGTTCCTCCTGAACGCGTCTTCCACTCCCAGGGAGCTGTCATCCAGGGAAGGAAGTTGTAACAGTATAAAGTCTACAAGCAAAGAAAAGAAAAAAAAAAACCACAAGCATACGCAAAAGGCAGACGCTTCCCAACACCCGTGACGCCCGTTTCATATCTCTAACATGTGACATTGTCCATCTCTGGCCACATCACTGTAGCCTGCTTTTTTTTGCCTGACCAAAGACCCCTGGTTGCGCAGAGTCGAAAGAGAAGAGTGCAAGAAAGGAGGAAATAAAAGTTCGTCGACTAAAGGGAGTATTTGTGCGCAAAAAAGTCTTGGTCGCCAGAAGAAAGCAAGTGAAAATATTTGTGGCGGCAAAAGTAAGGCGAATGAGGCCTCGGAGGAATCTTGATGCATAAATCAAAAGGCATTGACGGTCGTTGAGGAAACCGAAAACACCCTAAACTTTTCGGGCTCGTTTCGCGCTGTTGTTGACAGGGCTAACGAAGGTGACGTGCTTGTTCTCGTCCTTCTTCAGACGCATGGTGGTGCCAGAGCCACTAGATCCCCGGTGGTGAAGAGGTCGACCCTCATGATCCTCATCGAGAGTGATCTCGGCCACATCAGACACCGACTCGGCATCCATGCGGTCGCTCACGCCGGAGTCTGAGCCATCATCTGAGTCGTCGTACTCGCCGTCGTCGCTGACGAGTGAAGGCGCGTTGTTGCTGACCATGGTGTTGGGGCTCAGGTCTACCATGTCGACGTCCTCGTCGCCCATCATCATCAGTCGTGGCCCTTCGTCCTTGTCAGGACTGCTCATAGGCGGCGATGCGAAGCCCGAGTGAGTCGCCCTGCCCTTGCTGCTCGTCGGCCTTGTCGGCGCCGGGACGACAGGAGACATGACGGCTCTTGCTGGAACACGCATGGCAGTGGAAGGAACACGAACGGCTGACCCAGCGTCACCAGTTGGAGTGCTGAGACCACCCTCGGCTTCTTCCGAATCCTCTCCTGGCGAAGAAACATCATCCAACGACATCTTCTCCTTAGCATCGCCAACGATTTCACGGAGGTTGCCGTTAAAGTTCCTGCTCTGCATGAGGCGCGAAAGGAAGGGGACATCAGCCGAACCGACGAAGTTCTCCCCGTTCTGAACGGCGGGTCTCGCGGACTCAGCGTTCGGAACAGTGGGAATGCTCGTCACACCAGGCAGCTTGCCATCACGGTACAGCTTGAGCGAATCTGCGATCCTTGAGCGCAAAGAAACGTAGGCTTGCTGAGTAGACATGTCGGACTGGGCAAACGGGTGAACAAGACCTGGAGCGACAGCGGGAGCTGGCGGCGGGGGCTTTTCCTCCCCAACGACGCCACCACCTTCGTTGACCTCGATCGGTTGGCCGCAGGACACGGCAGCCTCCTCGTGGCTCTTGTAGTCTCTCCTGTGAGCGATGCGGCAATGGTTGATGAAACCCTGCGTGCTACTGAAGTTTTCTCGGTTGCAGTCCAAGCAGACGAGCTTCACGGTCTGGCCATCGGAGCGCTTCAGAACACAAGGCCCAGCCTTCTCCTTAGGTTGAGGGTAACCACTGGACAGCGACTGGAGCTTCTGTCCAGCCGCACCTCGAACCGGCCGGTTCTTGTTCGCGCTTGAGAGGTCAGACATGCTGTTTCTCGTCGTTCGTCCCTCAGCTGAGCCTCTGCTACGGGCCGTGTCAAGCACGGGATACCATTCAGGCAGCATGCCGTCAAACTTGGGATCAGGGATGAGCCACTTGGCGTAGTGTCGGGCGTAAGGACCATCGACGACTCCAAAAGGCGCCGCCCACTGAGGGACGGGCTCTCCCGGGCGATTCCGCAGAGAGGGACCCTTGCCGCTGCTGATATCCAGCATCTGCGCCGGAGTGGGGCAGGTGGTAGGATAAGGAATCAAATGGCATCGGCGAAGCTGCTCAAGGGCGACCTGGCATTTGGCCAGCTCTTGGTTGATTAGCCTCAGCTCGTTGTGCTTGAGCAAGATCTCCAGACCAAACTGGTACTGGATCGCGTCGCACGCGTCTTCCATGTCGTTAGTCACCGCGGGAACAGGCTTGGACTCTGGTGCAGGCCCAGACACAGCCACAGGAGCAGGCGCAGGCGCCGATGGTGGCGTAGCCATATCGCAGGCAGGAATGTCAGCAATGAGAGGGCTGCTGCTCTCCTGCTTTGCCCGCTTCACAGGCTGCTCACTGTTGGCGTTGATGAAGGTAACATTTGGCGCGCAAGAGGCGTCAACGCTGGAAAGTCGCCTCTTTTGAGGGCGCACCGGGCTTGAGACAGACGTCGTTGTTGCACCTGGATGCGGCAGGATGAACTGGTGCTTTTGCGCGAGCGACGGCATTGGATGGCTGACACCGACAGTCGTTTCGCTTCCCCGCTCTGAACCCCAGAACCGGAACATAGAGATTCTATGAGTGAGAGAAGGATGAGACGAAAAAGTCGCGAGAGGGTGAGCAGGCGACCTTTAATGCAGTGTAAGGTGACGTGAGGTGAGGCGCAAGGCAACGACAGCCTGACGGGGGAGGTGAGGTGGCAGTGGCAGCGAGTGGCGGAAGAGCTAGGCAGCTGCGGCGACGTGATGCAGAGAAGCGGGTGCGCGCGAAGTGCAAGGAGGTGCAATGCGGGACGCGTTGGTGCTGAGCTGAGCAGAGCAGAGCTGGGGGGTGTCGCTGACGTAAACCGTGGGTGATGAGCCGGCGTGAGCGAGATGCGGTGGGCGACAAGCAGGCGGGCGTGCGGGCGTGCGTGCGTCGAGCGAGGGGCGTGTGTTTGGTCGTTGGCCTTGCTTGGGTGGATGGGGCCAGAAAAGGGGTGGCAGGGGCGAGTGAGTGTGCGCGCGATGATGTGGTCGGGCGCTCCCCTCAGAAGCTGGGAAATGGGCAGGAGGAAAGCCGGGCACCGAGATGGGCGACAAGGCGATCAAAGGGATGGGATTGCTGCGACGGGTCGCGCAGCGAGGACAGCGACGCAGAATGATCGAGAACTAATGAAAGCCTCGATATCGCGCAGGAAAACGGAGAGGAAATGAATGCGCGAAGAGAGACGGACGAGCAAAAGAAAGGGCGACGCCTTTTCTGAGTGCTCTCTCTGTGTCGGGCGGACGGTGTTGTTTTCTGGGCTGAAATCGGGGGGAGAGGAGGGTTGTTTGGGAGGAGGATGGGAGATGTTGGAGATGGAAATCGACAACAAGAAGGAGCAACAACAAGAATAAGGTGAAGCCGGCGGGGGGGAGCAGGAACCCAGGAGGTCTCGTCTCTGGCGCTCTGCGTTGCTCTTCTGGAAGGGCGGGCGACGTGCGCAGGTTTGGGTGGGAAATTGGCCTCTCTGGGGGGAGTGATTGCGAGTGCGGGTGGGCCGTGGATCCTGGGGGGGCCAAAGTAAGGTAACTGCAGTGTACAGCGGGCAGGTACCAGAACCGACCGTCGATAACAGCACCTCAGCCAGAAGAGACGACGGGGCACCGCGAAGAGAAAGAGGGCGGTGGGATGGATGAGTGGATGGATGGACAGCAGCGACGGCCCAGGTGGACGGCGGCGGGACTGTGACGGTTGGATACCTGGTGGGCACACTTCCAGACTCCAGTGGGTGACTGCCCGGGTTCCAACTGCTGCGGTCCGCGGATTGGCACACTGGTTTGGTTGGCCTTGGCCTGTGGTGGTTTGTGTGTCGCTGATTGACTGCGCTCTGGCTCTGTTTCTGCACAAATTGTGGGTGCCAGAGCTGCTGCTGCTGTTACGTTGGTGCTGTGATCGGTGGTGCTTTCGCGCGGCGCGGTGGTTGTGGTGCTGATGGTGCAGATGGCACAGATGATGATGTGAGGGACCGACTGACTAGGAAAAGGCAATTTGTGAATTGAATGCAAGGGGGGGCATAAAATGGAGACGGGGGTGTGAGGTGTGGGTGGTGTGGATAAGGATTGTGCTGCGGCTGCTGCGTCTGATTGGCCCGTTGGGAGACAGCAGGAGGGAACGAGGGAATGCGCTTGTTTGGTCTGACCCAGAGACAGGACACCGCCGCCAGGGAAAAGAAGGCGAGGGAACCCAGGGAGGGAAAGCAACAACCAGGCAGGTGCAGCCCAGGAAAGCAGGGGTGGGGAACACGACAGGACGCTCCGGCCAGGACTGGCAAACAGGACAGGGCACCACAACGACAGGACACGACGCCAGGGAGCCAGACCCGATATCGACACAACCTAAAAGACACCCGGACAGTTCGATGTGAGCGTGAAAGAGTCAGGTCCTTCTTGATTGCCGCTCTGTTGCGAGAGAAAGGCCGATAGTGGACGTGTCAGAACGAGGGCGTGGATGCGCGCCGTATCCAGATGCAAGACGACGCAAAGCAGACCGTCGGCAACGGCGAAGACAGCGACAGCGACAGCGGCAGCGCACTGAACTCGGAAAGGGTATCTGGGATCTAGAAAAAAGGAAAAAGAAAAAAAGTAAGAGGGGACCCTCAAAGACCCCGAGATGGGACGCACGCTGTTCCTCCCGGCTCCCGCTCTGTCTGTGTCCGCGTCCGTGTCTGGCCTGTCTGTCTTGAGTGTCTGATGGATGGATGATGAGACGGACGGGGGAACTCGGTCTGTAGCAACTCGCAGCCGGGTCGTTGGCTACGCTGCACTGCGTGTTTTATCGCCGCCCCGAAAATAGAACGGGACAGAGGGTGGGCGCCCAAGATACGGGACACAGCACAGCTGCTGTGGAGATTTATCTGGAGGGATTCCCCTTTTCTTCTGGTGATAGCGGACGGGGAAGATGGAAATGTGAGAAAGAGATTCACAGAGGAAATCCGGAGCGCAGGTGAGGGCGGATGAGCGAGGAAAACACTATGAAGCATCTGACGAAAAGACACGGCCCGCTTGTGCTCTCGCTCGTCTTTGCGCCATAAACAACAGGCCTTGCTGTCGATCTACCTTACTTCAATCATGTTTTGTTTGTAAAGGTTTCAACAAGCGTCTTATCGACAAACCTGACTAACAACCCTCACTCTGGCTTTCACTTTCACTGCCCGTAAGTACTTTGCACAAGCCGACTTACCCAACCTGCTTAGGGCGGCAGTAAGGTTCCTTAGTGAGGAGGAGCCGGGGAAAGCTCGTGGTGTGTTGCCATGTCTCTCTCGTTGACCTTGGGGTGTGGAAAACATAAAAAGTCAGAGAGCTAAGGAACCTAGAGGCGTGGGAATGAACCCGAATGCCTCCAGCTCCTGCTGTTAATTAGTCCCGTCCCGCTGGGGTCGGGGCCTCCAGCGACTTCAACGCTAAAGCGACAGTGCGCGCGTCCACGCTTCTCCGGCCTGTCTGCTCCTGCCAACGACATCAGTGTGTTGCTTGCTTGATGTGAGGTGCGCTTCCCGCCGTCAATTCCATGGACCTGTGTTGTTGACATCCGCGAGAGGCAATGGCGTCGGCTGGCGCATTTTCCCCATCAATCAACAAGACCCAAAATGACCTGACCGTCTTTCCTTTCTCTGACGAATGCAAACAACTAAAGAAATCCTTTATTTGTTGACGACAGTCTGTTGTTGTTCGCTCCCACCGCCACGTCCTTCTTCTCCACGTCCGACTTGGCGGACTCGCACCTCATTCGTCTGGATAGCGGCGCTGCCATTCCGGCTGGGATTGAAGATGCGGTCTAAGGTAGTGTCCACGACAGAACAGACACCGACTTCCAAATACCCCATCAGCATCAGAGTTTCCCCCAGCCAGCCGACATGAAGCCGCAGCCCAGCGATTTGGGAACCACCTGGGATGACATGAAAGCTGGACCTTAAACAGCAAGGGACGGCCATGCTTCTGCATTGCTTCTTATGCTTCCACTGCCGTTCTTCGCCGCCTTCTCTTCCTCGCCTCGCAATCGAACCCGTCCGTCCTTCGAAGGCAACCTGACATCAAACACTCTGATCCTCCATCAGCCTCTGAGGCCTCGCATCTCGCAGTTCTTCGGGACGCCCTGCAACCCTGATGACAGCCGAGGCCACGCACGCGAGGACTGAGAGGACGGGTGGGTGGGTGCGACACGCGCTAAAACCATGGGTGGCCGCTTGAAATGCGCCACGCCACCCGACGTGCCCAGCTTTTGCCTTTTGCCATTTCTGGTTTCAGACCTGAAGATTGCTAGCGAGGTACAAGTCCCGCCAAGTGCCATTCGCTGAGATGCCCCAAGTTCTGTTCAATAAACCAATCCAATCGCCCCGGCATGCTGCGACCCTCCGCGGAAGCAACACCCAACAGCTCCGGCTCACCGGCCAAGGTCGCGACAGCTCAAGTACCCGCTTATTGCTGCACATCCCTGCCTTTAGCAGAGACGTCGATATCGCATCAGGCCCCATCCCGGGAGCCGAATGGCGCCTTCTGGCTTTCCTGGGCGAAACGGATCGATGTGACCGCAGCTCTGCAGCTCGGCCGGCATGCTGCATCTCGGAAGCTTGGAATCTCGGGGAGACCCTCTTGGAATCTGCTAAATGACGAGACGATGTTTAATTCATGATTCAGTCCGCGAGACACACTTCTGTCGATGCGGGACGTTTTGCACCGCAGCTACCCTTTTGAACTTCACGGCCAGCTCGGGTTTATCGAATGCCCATCCTGGGTCATCCCCATTCTCGGCATCTCGATGTCGGTTTCCTGGGGTCTGCGAGTGGCTGCAAGCGGTTACGCCCAAACTAGCGCCCAGCGAATCAAAACCATAGCGCATTGCAAGATGAGTCGTGCTTCTGCACAGGCCACATCAAGCATGTGAAGTCGAAAAGCCACGACCCACAACGAATGGACGGCACCGCTTGTCTGGGTGAAGTCTTCCTGCTTCCGCGGGACGCTAAGCGTCCCCGACCACGGCAGAAAGCTCGTGTTCGAAGAGCAGATCAATGATTTGTAGATCACGTGCTATATCACGAGATCTGCGTGGCACAGATTGTGCCGTTCGACGTGATTTGGATGCTAGAAGAGAACCGAGAGGTACGCGGCACAGAATCAAAAGAACCCTCGTTGCTGGAGGGAGTATACAATCTGGTTTGACAACTTAGACGATTGGGATGGCTTATGTAACTGCCGAATCGAGGTCGTTCGGCCGTCTGATCGGTCATCGGCTCCGAATCTAGATGCCTGGTCAAAGCTTCTTATCCGATGAGATTGTGGCTTCAGATTTCAGCCCGCCGCATATTTTCATCGCCATCAATCCTCCGCCGGACTGACACCGTCGACAAACCACATCGAACCCGCGCAAACGTCGACGACGACGACGAAGCATTGAAGACCGGGCTTATCATGCTGGAAGACATCGATAATGCAGGACGGGCTTAAGGACACCGCCACGGGTATTCGAGGCGACAAGAAGAGAAAACTGCCCATCATGGTGGAGTCGGAGGACCAGAAGAAGAAGAACAAGCCGTCTCCGGCCAGCCCTGGAACACCCGCACCTCACGACGCCCTTCTTGCCGAGCTTAGAACTAAGTACGACATCTTGCCCGCCTTCACCATCTCCTCGACAAAGATTCACAAGCGTGTGACCTGGTTGCTGCTGCACCTGCGCAAGAACGACGGGGACGCGAGGAAACGGGCGGTGCTCCTGTACGCCAGGCTCGACGAGGTGGGAAAAATGATCACCATCTCGGAGCAGGTGAAGCGCATCGTGGCGGAAGAGGACGGCGGTCGGTGGTACCAATACAATAAGATGTACGAGCTGCCGCCCAAGGCTGAGGTCGTGGAGGAGACTATGCTCGACGGCGGGAGAGCAGGCAACGACACGGACGACGACGACGACTTCGAGGTCATGGAGAGCCGGTTCGAGAAGGCGGTGATGCCGCAGCCAAAGAAAGGAACTCCGAAGTCACTCAGCATCTTCCTCTCCCTAGAGCCCATGCCTGAGCTGAAGGCCCAGGAGGGCGTCACGCAGCAAACCAATGAGACGTAGGGAGGTGAAGCAGCAGCCACCGACGCATAAATACACCAGGAACCAAAGGGGGGAAGACCAGATGGCAGGAGAGGTTTCGATAGCGGTCGAGAGGCTGCTAGAAGCTGGGCGGCACCATGTACATCATTGCATCTTTGGGCGTTAGGACAGAGAAAAGGGACATTCACGATTTGATACCCAAGTCAGAGGGATTGCAGACAGACGCAAGATACGAAAAAAGAGAATATTTTGCTAGATAATTACACAGCGCTGGAACGGACTGATGCACTCTCCTGGTAACTGTACTCCATGGTCACAATGCACTTTTTTTTACCTGTCTGCTCGCGCAGACTTTGACATCGTTCACTTTACGCGAGCAACACAGATGTTCCCTCAACTCCAAAGGAATCACACTCTTCGAGGTGCAGAAGCGAGCGCTCCAACGTCTGCTACCCTCCCGGCCTACATTGGCTCGTCGTAATCACCACTCACGCGGCTCTGCAACAACACCCTGGGCCAGTCGATACGAAACAGCCCCCCCTTATGTTCTTCAACGTTTTGCTTTCCGCAACGGCTGATCGTACTTAGTGCTTCGACTCCTTGGAGGAGTAGGTTATGCGCAGAACGAAGTTGACGACGACGGCCAGCAGCAGGATGATGGCCAGGAAGGTGGGGCCGAAGCGGTCGTCGAAGCCCGCCTGGCCGCGCACGCGGATCGACTTGGCGCGCCAGTGATACGTCGCCAGGGCGTAGATCATGGTCAGCATCGCGACGCCCGTGAAGAGGAAGGCGCTGATGAAGGCGGGGCGGTCGCCAAAGTTGAGCATGCCGATGGCGAGGGCGCCGAGGATGACGGTGAAGTTGAGCCACGAGAGGAAGGTGCGCTCGTTGGCGAAGAAGACCTTGGGCTCGACGCGCGTCGGGAGGGCGATGCGCTTGCCTGGATCGAGGGCGGCGGTGGTTAGCTGGAGGTCACGACATTTGGGTCTTTCGCGGCGGTGGTATGCCCGAGAGGTAGGAATTGTGTTGTTAGTGGACATACCCGGCGCAGTCTGGAGGAGAGGTTGGCTCGACATTTTGGAGGTTGTTTTGTTGTGTCTGCTTTCTCCTAATTGAAGATCTTCTGGGAGCGATGCGTATCGCAATCGTACGAGGTGAAGTTGATTTTCGCGGCTCGACGTCGGCGAGGCTGGGCTGGTTTAGCGTGCGTTCGAGCTCGGACTCGGTGTTAGATAGCAACGGCTTTTGTCGCTTGTGTTCGAGGCGCCCCGTATTCGTGTGACGAGGAAAACAACGTCAATTGAGCCAAGCTTTTCGAGATTTCGTCTGAACCCAAGTACAAAGGTCTGTCGTTATCGGAGATTGAGAGTTCAATGAATAGAATGTGAAGGTTTAAGAAAAAGAGAAGAAAAGAGCAGAGACCTGTAACCTAACCGAACCGAGAGAAAGAACCCGCTTGAAAGCTTGTTCGATGCGACGGAGACGCAACGCAGGAACCACGGCCCCTCTTGCCTCCCTTAAAGCTCCATCGCAGAACCTGTGACGCTTGGCCTGCGACGGCTAGAGCTCTCCACCAGCCACAGCTACGAGCCATGGATCACTGCTGCAGAAACCACACGTGCGAACCTTGAAGGCGGTGATTGGTTCAGCCACAAGCAGGGGCTATCTGCAAGCTGCTCTCCCTGCATGATGACTAGATACTGTGGCTGCAAGAGACAGCACGTGACCCGTTGCCCCGCGCACCGGCCTGCGGCAGCTGCGCCAGACCGGACGGCCCGTGTTGCGACGCGAGGCGCTTGCATCGGGCTGCGCATCACAACACGGGACGCCTTAACTTTTTGTGGAGGAGCCTCATCTTTCGCCTTATTCCGCAACTGACAACACCACCGCATCCACATCTACACCGGTAAACACCGCACCACCAGACTGAAAAACTTGGCCGTCTCAAGCAACGCTGACATCGACACAAGTGACTCTCATCCATCACGAATTTCTTCCAAAAACCTCACCGATTTTCCGGAATCAACAAAACATCCGATCTTCAACATGTCTGCCGCTCCCACAACCGCCACTCCTGTACGTCGACTACCCCGCCGCATTGGCTTCCAATGTTGCATTTGGTCATTGTCACTGACTCTTTCCTTCTAGCCCGTCGCCTTCAACAGGCTCAAGCAGATCGCTACCGATGTAAGCATTCAAGCAGCGCAACGAGCGCCTGCCTTACCGCCACTTGGAAACAGCAACAGTCACTGACACGATAGTCAGGCTTGCCAATCAGCGATTGGTTCCGCAGAGTTCTACGACCATGCTAAGACCGAACAATGGAATAGCGCCATTATTGTAAGTTCTTTCCTCTTCCTGCGAAGCCCCTTTTCGGGGGGAGAAAGGATCACACAAACTAACCACCGTGGCATTAGTCCTCAGTTCTCAAGGCCGTCATCTCCGAGTCCACCCCTCAAGGCGGTTCCGCACCCGCTTACAAGTTCGCCTGTAACTCGACGATTGTCCAGCACCTCGTTCCTACCTCGTCCCTGAACAAGTCCAAGGGCACCACCGCCAACTCCGAGGAGCCGCACATCTCCACGAGCGCCGAGACTACCGGTACCGACGGCAAGCCTCACGTTGGACGCCGCGGCATGCACAGCGCCACTGGTGCCTACTGGGATGAAAAGAAGGACGGCATGTGGTCGTACAAGTACGACGGAGGTGAAGGCAAGGGGATGGATGTTGTCATCATGCTCATCTGGGTTGCTATCTAAGCGGTGAATGTTCAGAGTCGGCAAGCCTAGAAGAAGCGCAGGTCAGAGGCTCCAGGGCCAGAGACCGCAAAGGAGAAGGGCTCAGAGAGTGGTCCTGTGGCAAGCCGTCAACCTCTTCCCGCAAAGCAGGATCGTCCGCCCAGGGAAGACGGACTACGAGCATGCTCAAGAACAGGTCGCCCGTCTAACGATAGGGGTTGAATGCGGCCAGGAGGGATCATGCACGGTACATAAATTGAATGGCAAGCATGCCGGGAGGATGAAGTACGTCTGTTGGTAATGCATTTCGAAAAGTCGGTCATCGACGGCGAACGGAGGTCAATGTACGTCTATTCCATCGGATTTACAACAGCCGGAGTTTTGATGGTATACAAGAAACACGATAACATCATGAAGTTTTTTCTCTGTGCCTCATATCTCGTGATGTGTGATATTACTCGGTTGCTGTGCTGGATTGTTTATTTGTTGTGGTCTTCACCGCCCGACGAATGAGGCGCATTGAATAATCTCGGTGTGCCATCCCTGCACAAGCGGAAATGCCATATAAAATACGCCTTTCATTCCCCCATCTGAGCTATAAGATCTGGGCCATGCCAATATCAATTTCGCTGGGAGGGTAGCAGTTCACGTGCTACATGCGCTTAGAGCGGCTGACCAGATTTTGTTTCAATGAAATTGCTTAAAAGCTTTATGGCATCAAAGTTCTGCAGCATAACGACCGACATCCTTCTGCAGCGTACTTCAGCGTGGCTTATTGTAAATGGCTGAAACCGCATGATGGACAACTGTAGTCCCTTACCTAGTTGAGATTGGTCCCACAGATTCAAGTCCCCCATTTGTTGTACTGTGTGCGGTATGTCATTGTGGCGACGTCAGTCCCCGTAACGCCCAAAAACCGCAGGACCCTGATGATCTTTTCTCAACCTCGCTCTCTCTCTCGATTCGCACACCCTCGATCTGACATCTTTGACATTTTTGCCAATCGGACTAGTTGGCGAAGAAGCGTCACTTTCCGGCTGGACAGCAGACCGTAAGCTCGATACGGATGGAACGTCGTCACGGCGGATGGGCGCGAGTCGCAAAGTAGCTTAGGGCCATCCCGCGGTTCGAGGCGCCATAGGCTTTGTGGTTGGAGTTACACTCCTCCAGCTGTTCAGGAAGACCCTGAGCGTTGGGACCGGATTGTTAGTGATGATGGTTAGTAAGAGCAATACGATATCCTGGTGCCGGTGCCGGCGCCGACACGGACGTCTTCCACACCCTCTTCGGAGAGAACGAAGAGCACCGACTCTCGAGATGGTTGTTGAAAAAACCGACGCCGAAAAGTAATCGGCGCAGGACGTTGACTTGGTTGAACGGGATTATGCTCTCCGGTCAAGATTCAAGGCGCAAAAACGCGGCATGTGTGTGTGCCACATTTGATGCCGAGCGCCGCCGGAACCCTCACAGCTGCAGGAAGCGGCAGTGAGGGGCGAGGTCAGATCATGAGGTTACGCACTTTTTCTTCGGTCCTGTACTGGCCTGATCGGTGTGCGCCGATGGAGGGAACGTGGCCTGGGAAGGATGCGCCAGATCAGATCAGCGAAACAGGCGGCGTTTCCACCATCCGTTCTGTATGCTTGGTTGGAGAAGGCAGCCCAGGGCAGAAGTTCGTCCACGTTTCTTCCAAGGTCAAGCTTCGTTGACTTGTGGTTCACGGCCGCCCGTTGGAAGCTCCTCCGGAGTTGGACCCTCTTTGCAGGGCCGGTGACGTGCCGTGGGGCATCGTCATATCGTGAACGGCTGTCGAGCCGAAGCGTGTGGAAAAGCTGGGGTAGGAGATTTCGTTGCGATTTTCCATAGCGGAGATCGGGGACTGGAGAATCCCTTGGATGAGACAGGCAGCGATAGGTCACGGATGGAATGGAAGAGAAGCGCCACCGCTTCTGTGGTCCCCCACACGTTGGGTGGTATTCACAGATGGTGCAGCTGTACGACCAGTGCATCACAGAGCATGACGCTGTCGATCCCGTGGAAGGCAGCGCCCTGTTTTCCGCCGTCTGGTGTTGCTATGCTCCAACGCCGTCCTCTGTCTATGGCACGCCAATGGGCGAATGTATGCTTGGTGCGGTGATATGATAGCTGAGAGCTGTGCAACGACGGCAGCCTTACTGGCATGTTTTTGGGGGTCATGAGACCATGTTTCCCAGGATGAGACCTGTCTTGCTTCCCCGCGTTCCAACAACAGCGGCCTGGCTGGGGTGCTGAGCTCTGATTTGGTTCGGCTCTGCATGCCCGAGTTCATGATCTAGCCATTGGTGGTTGCAAGAATCATCATTCTCGACTGATACAGCGCCTTGAAAATCAGAGCTGCGTTGGGCGGTAACAGGAGATCAGATCAGTCGAGGGCGCCAACCGGACGGCTGACAGACGGTGTGGCATCCCCTGTTGGGTTGAAATGGACGAAGGAAGGGAAGATGGGAGAATCTCTGGTCTTTGCTGCAATTAGACTCTGGTGGAAGTCTGCGGGCCGCCGTTGGCAACCGTGTGGGGGTTGATGCTTCTATCGCATCGATAACGGTGTTTCCATGCGTTGTAGCTGCGTGCCATTGATGTCTGGCCAGTTCCAGAACACCAAGCAGACGACACAAGACCTATCACAGCATGCCAGGCCTCAAACCACCCTGTCGTGTCGCGCATCTCACCCGCCAGGCGCTACTTGGTCGGTAGAAAAGAAAGCTGGTTTGAGGGGGAAACGAGGGGTGATGGAGGGCATGATCTGAAAACAGAGAGTCGATTCGTCGACGGACAGGCGTGGCTTGCGTCGATATCAGTTGTGTCGAGTTGAGGTGGTGAGAAAGTCGCCTGTCTCTCGTTCTTCCGACGCGCCGAGCGTTGTTCTCGGATCTGTCGATTCGCAGAGTTGGTGCTGCGGAACTGCCCTACAGCACGTTGCTTGCTCTGCTTCGTCGGTGACCGCCATCAGTTGGTACACCCTCACCTTCCTGTCTACGAGACCCTATGACGAAAGTAGCCGGCCAAGTACCGGTACCTCTCGAGGTTTGCGCCGTCGCTGAGAATCCGTCCGTTCGCCGTCACCTCGTACCTCAGCGGCGTACCTTACCTCACCCATGGGTGGACTTGTGGAGGACAGAGGCAAGTCAAAGACCCTCCAGCAGGCCCTGTCTGCGTGTCTGCGCAAGCTGAGTGGCTCGAGGGGCGATTTGGTCGGTTACAGAGCTGGAGTCCGGTGTCAGCTATCTCCATCTTCTCCAGTGTTTTTCTGCGAGGATTGTCGACATTATTGCTCAATGTGTTATTGGACGTTATGCTCCATGATTCGCGTGAGGATGCCAATGACCGAATTCCCCATTTTTCGTGCTGCCATGAGATGAAGGGGCCAGTCACCGAGGGAAACAGAGAAAAAAGACGTCCGGAAGAGTGCTGCAGCTGCAAAAGAGCAGTGGGAGGCGAGGACCCCCAGGCCGGGAATACCTAGCGCCAGCTTCAGCCAAATGTCCAGCAATAGTAGTCGTGCCTCGCGCTACCCACTAGGTTGTCAGGGGAGGCACTGGAAGGCGCTGGGCCGAGGGGGCCACTTTACTGCCGTACTTGGCAACTATGGCGTAGTGCCTGCAGCTCGCAGCGTTGCCAGTGACACTCTGGACCCCCAATCCCCACCGCTAATATGGCCTACCATTGCTCGCTGGTGCCCTGCTTGCGCTCTCTTGGCCTGACTAGTCCCCAGCAGCGCATCCATTTCCCTCGCGGCCATGTCCCGGTACCTGTGACTTCACGCTCTTCCTTTCGCGCGCCGGTCGGTCAAAGGTCCAGTCCAGTCTTTGCTCCATCACACCACCACCACCGCTACCGCGACCGCACACCCTCTTTTCCTCCCAGGGCTTCCCGTCTCTTCTTCTTCCTTAAAAGAACACACAATTGATCAGCACCCGACTTTGCCTCTTCAGGGTCCTGTCACTCTGCCTTTGACGTACCCTTAAATATCTAACGAACCTCGCCCGGCCCCGTCTTCAACGGTTCATACGCAACTCATGAACTTGCTATTGAGGCAATCCAACTTACCAACTACATCACTCTACGACATTGGCCCGCCCAGCCTCAACATCGATATCACCTGAACCGGAACAACTCGACAGTACCCAGGGAGTCCGAGAACATAGGTCCCCCTCAGTCTGAGCACAACGACAAAGATCCCACGAACCTTTACCTGACGACCGCTTCTTTCCCCTCACCTCACAGGTGAATTCATCCGCCTTCGGGAACGACCCCTCTCGCATCACGAGACCACCGACCTTCAACGCGGTTGGTCGCTGCCAACCCCTCACATCACCATCCAAGCCATCGTCGAATAGTTGCCCCTCTCGGGCTGTCGGCGACACCTCATCCTCTCTTCCGCCGTTACACAGAGCCCCTTTGCAATGGTCGAAGTCCTGTCCCCAGGCCCTGGCCAAAATGGCCACGCTGCTCCCACTCACGACGACAACGTCGCTTCACTGGCCCGTATGATTCTTGCCAGCAGCATCGCATCTAACCAGGAGGACAAGATGATGAGCCGCGAAGAGCGCCATGCCATGATGAAGGAGATCAGCCAGCACCAGGCCATCAAGGACGAGCTTCACAAGAAGCGCGGCGGCTGGCGCACTCCCCGTCGCGGCTGGTCCATTACCGACTCACCCGTTGCCTCGTCGCAGGGCAGTCCTGCGCCCAACGCTTCGCCCTACCCTGCTCCTCCTATGGAGTCGCAGACATCTACTACATCCAACTCAAGCTCCATCTCCTCTGTTCCGGAGCAGGGCGAGCTTCCAGCAACAGAGATGAAGAATGCGCCGCATCCTCCCCAGGTTCGCCGGCCTCCTCTTCCGCCCCCACGCCGCTCCTACTCGGTCATGGAGTACGAGCCGCCACCACGCACCCACCGGCCCTCGGCTCGTATGGATATCTTTGATCTTCCCATTGAGCTTCACTACACCATTATGGACTACCTCGATCCTATGGATAGTGCATGCTTGGGCCTGACCAACAGCCACTTCTACGATATCCACCGTCGCATGCACGGCAGTGTTCCACTATCGTCCCACCGCGACGGACCCAATGATTTGGAGTGGGCTTTCTACCTCGCCAGCCGCCGCGTCCCGCAGTCCAGCTCGGGAACTTCCACACCCACTACTGAGAGTCACAGCCAACCGCACCCTCTTGAGGGCATGCGCCTGAAGGGGCAGGTCTACTGCCGCAAGTGTGGTCACTACCGCTGCCAGCTGTACCGCCACTTGCGCGAGTGGATGGGTCCTGACAGGGAATACTGCGAGGTCACCAAGAAGTACGGCCGCCGTGCTCCCGAGGATGCGGCCGACCATTGCTCCATCAAGTCGCCGAAGCACCCTCATCGTTGCGGACGTCATTCCGCAAAGCCTACCCAGCCTTCCGCCAAATAATTGGCGGGTTTTGTATCATATACCACCGGCGGCCATGAGGAGCCGTCGGGTTTGCAGCAAGGAGTCAAGACTACAAAAGAAAAAGAAAAGAGAGATCTGTATAGTTAAACGGGACGGCGTTCATTGACTGGTTACACTGAGACGAGGAAAGAAGCTTTAGGTTTGGGTTGCATCAAGTCACCGAGAATCTGCAATTGGCTACAGAATACCTAAGATGAGATGGGAAAGCATCAGACCGACACACGCACAGCAGCTGGGTCAGCAAAGAGATGAGCTATCTATCATGAGCATAGACTGCCATAGAACATACAATATCGAGCATTACCATTCTGTTCATAAACCATGCATCGCAATTTTCTTCGTCCCTGGATCTTGGAGCGGTGAAGTCCGGGCGATGACGTAGTGCTGACACGGATAGATTGCGGACCCTTTCGGGACGTTTCGCGTTGAAGATAACCATGCCCTGAATCATTGTTTATCTCGCCCGAAAACGAAGCTCATTCGCCAGGGAAGATCAGCTATCGGTCTTTTGTCCGGTGCTGAAAATAGGTTTTGGCTTTCTGGGGCCAAGCATTTTGACCTCAGTCTTGGGTGTGTAGGTCCAGCACTCAGCGTGCTGTGTTGCTTCTTGATGTACCTATCAGGCATTGCCAAAGTTGGTAATTGAATCGGCCTGGTGTCCAAAATCATCATGAGAGGAGACAATGTCCTTTGTTGTTTATATACCAGAGACCGACTGACTTTCCTATGTCTTCGCGGCCATGATTCCTATATACTTAAGTACCTCTATCGAAGACGATAGTAGCAATTAGACGATAGTAGCAATAGCAATAGCGATAACGACGACGAGGACAGTGATAACAACAACGATAGTAACGACGATAACAATAGTAACAATGACGATAATCATAACCACGACGGTAATAGTAACGACGACGATAGTTACGACGATAACGATAGTAAAGACGACGTAATAGCGACTACAACAACGACAACGAGAACGACAATAGCAATAAATAATAGAAGCGCCGGCGAGGACAGTAAAGTAGACTATAGCTGTAGGAAGAGTAGTCGCTCTAGCACAGGAAAGATGGGCGGTCTCTTGTGTAAGTTGAGTGCAGTTCAGAGGATGAGGGCCTGTACAAGACGAACAACATGGTGACTATAAGTCTCACCTTAACGACAGCACTCCTTCTCCATCGGCTTAGACATCTTCCGCTACGACGACCATACATACACAGCAGTGCCGCCGCTAAGCATCCAAAGCCCCGCCTGCAAAACCCGGCGAAAGTCGAAACGTTCCGGCACAGGCGTGGCGTCCATCTTAGCCATCCAATCGTCGATTCTATCGTCCCAGTAATACACACGATTATGCAGGCGTTGAAGCTTATTCAGCACCCTGTCAATCGCGTCATGAGACTCTCGTATCTCGATGCGTTGCTGCCTGAATCCGTCGAGAATCTTTTGCTTGTCGGCGTTGAAGGCGGCCTCATAGGCCTTGAGGGCGCTGTACACGACGACGGGGTGCGCTTCGCCCTTTTGGAGGTTGTTCATCATCGTGTCAAGCTCCGCTGCGGTGGGGGCGGCTGGGACGAGGTAAGAATCGTTGGCTGGCCTTTGGACGTTGGCGGCAGAGATCGGGGTTGCATGGATGCCTCGCGAGGTGATGATGGGCTGAGTGCGAGGCGGGAGTGTGATGGGTCGGATGACCCTCGAGATGAGTTGGCGGGCTGACTACAGAGTTGTCAGATACACATCTCGGTGGACAAGGAGATGGCTGTACCATATTGGGTGAGTTGTAAGAGGTCACCATGTGATATGTTTGCGAATTCGGAAGCGGCAGGTGTGCCACAGAGTGAAGTCTACAGGGGGTTTTGAAATATGGTGTGTGTTTCAACCTCAGATACCTAAACAACCTTTGTGGTGGCCATCAAGTGACCCATGGGGCACCACGGTAAAGTCGGATTTTCTTGATTCATTCGTCCATACGCTGGGCCTTTTTCCTGTCAACTTATTTCACTGTCCTGATAGGCCGTACAGGTCCAGCTTGAGTTACGAATGAGTGCTTACACGAGTTCATGTGAGCGCGGTCGTTATTTCTGACTTGGTTTCCAATTGGAGATAATCATCTTGTTTTTCTTAGCATACAACTACGATTGAGCTTCTACTGTAGGGACTTAGTCTGCTAACAGTGCTTCGAAGAGAATAGCAAAGTTTCTATTATTTTCTCATGTCTCATGAAGTGTCACAGTACAACGTCAACGAGCCGTGCTTAATCATGAGTATGATTTGATAAGAAACTAGCCGCTTCTCTTTTTCTATTCATTTACTGCGCTCTCAACGAGCATCCCACTGCAGCTACATCCGAAACACTTAATCTTCCTTCTGAAGATGACTCTCGTAGACTACATATCATCGACGATATCCCCCCGCTGCGGTACGAGTATCTGTCTCGTCATGTGGCAAGCTTGTATTAGCGGCTGATGATGTCCTGCTACATAAAAATCCCTGATAGGTCTGTGTCTATTCTGCGAGCCATACTTGCAGACCAATTCCTACGCCGATATTAGTACAGGCCTGTCGACTTAACGATGCGCTTTCTCGGGGGTCAACAAACCTATCACTGCCCAAAATACCGGATGCGAAAGAAATTGGCCTCGTCGAGCAGTTTCTGACAACAGTTCCTCACCAGCCATAATGAGTTGTTGAAACTCACTTGGTTCTCTGACCAAGGAATCCTCAAAGCCTGGCAAACCCTCTCCGTATTGCAGATCCTTCTCTCCCAGGGAATCGTCTGCTGTATGATGTTGTGGTTTCAGGTCATTCTGTAAAAGTGACATTGCATCTTCGATCTTTGTGTCTTCGTCTCTGAGTTGATCATTCAAGAGCTGCAACAGAGTTTTGTTTTTTTTGTTTTTTTTTTTGGCCGGCTTGCTGTGGTGTGTTGACGACTGTCAAGGTGGAAGAGAGAAAGACGGTAAGCTGTCCACGGTGCCAACGTGTAAACAATTGCGGGACAACCGGGCAGCAAATCAGATGGTGCTCTTCATCGGCCGGGACCAGCATATGCAGTACAACCGAAAGGAACCCCAGTTGAGATACGCTCCGCCAATGACGCTGTTCTGACTGGCTTGGCTCTGCATGGAGAAGCAGGCTGGGATGGATGCCAGCGACCCACACCCAGGCCAACGACCGCTTATGTCCAACCCCGGAAGGCACAGACAATGACCGATATAATTGCCGTCGGAAAGTATGATTAAATACATAAGGACCAGTCAAAAAGGTTTTGATTGAGATGCTGGAAGACGGGCTCTTTTAGGTGTGAAACGATGACTGGGGAAATGGTCAGCGGCCGGCGGAAAGATGGTCAGCATCGTGAGATTTGTGCAAATCGAGCTTGCTGGGATGACAATTTACAGAAGACTCTATCAGGTAACGACTGGGGGAAAAAAGAGGATAGTGACGTTCTTGCAAGCGAAATAGCCGAGAAAAATAAGTTAGAGTCTTGCCATCCGGGCGGATATCTATTGTGTTAGGACGCATACCTTAGTTCATTTAATACAAATATTTATTGACCCTATCGTTCCTGGTGTCCCTGTTGCTCGTGCTGTCTCTATCTTCCCTGCCGTCCTTGTCGTCCTTGTCGTCCTTGTCGTCCCTAATTGTCGTCCCTAATTGTCGTCCCTACTGTCTCTATAGTCCCTGATGTCTCTATCTTCCCTGTCCCTGTCTTTGTCGCTGTCGTCATCGTTGTTACCCCTATCGTCGTTTATGCCTACTACCCGCCTGGACAGCAAAACTCGTTACTTATACCCAAACATCGACAGTTAGTATGCATGGCTGGGTGTATCTTCAGCCCTCACAACAACCTATGCACGTTGAAATAATGGGTTAAATAGGGAAAGAAGAATAGTCAGTCATTACTTGACAAAGATAGTCGAAGGTAATAAATATGAAGGACGGAGGTGACTCACATATTTCCCCGTCAGGATCATACGAAAGTCGAAAACGTGTGTCCGCAGGCAGTATCTTGCCATACGAAAGTATAAGAAAGAAGTCAGAAGGAATGAAGCGGCCCAACCCCCGCCCTGAGGCTCTCAGAACCACGCCGCCCGGTCCTCTGGCCCAGCCCTGTATCAGAGACGGATGAGCAAGAGCAAAAACGCATAGAACATGCTCTGAACGCAGGTATACTAGTGACGATGTGCTTGATTCTGTTTCCCAAAAAGGGGTTCTGCATAGTGGCTTGAAACGTACCAGACATGCGCTACGTCCACGGCCGCTGCTTCGCAAATCAACTTTTGATTGTAGCCTAGGATTGCTTTATAGACTGAACTCGTTTCCGATAACTCGTGCGTCACTCAGTCAAGCTCTACTATTGATCCAAAATTGACTCGAGTTCAGGAATGTGGAGGGCGGGTACCACTATGGTCTTTACCCTGCTGATTGAGGCGTGGTCGTAGACGATGAGAAAGCTTAAACGAAAAACTGAGAGAAGGGAAAATGAAAAGCCAGACACACCCCTGAGGCTTTTAATCGTACTTTGACTCCTTCAACCGTTCAACTTCACTCATTCGAACGTGGGCTTGGCCAAACGAATCAAGAAGTCAGATTCTACAACACATCAGTTATTATCTACGCCAGGCTAAGTCTCTTGAGGTATTTTCCTGATTCGAGATTCCTTTATTCGATGATTTGCTGCCCAACAGCTCATCCTCCAGTGCCTTCATTCATCCCTCATGGCTGGATCGACTCAGCCCGCTCCGATGTCTGCCTCCAAGCTCCAAACCACTTCATCGCCATATGTCCCGGCCTGGAGTTCTCTACCACCGGAACTGCGGCGAATGATACTTGAAGTTCTCGCACGACAACTCTCTGGTTGGGGCGCCTGCGCTTCTGTTTGTCGGGAGTGGCAGGCTACACTGGAGAAAGAAAATTTCCGCCGGCTGAAAGTACAGATATCATGTTTGGATGACATGGAGACTGTGGTTGGTTTGAGGCAAGCACAGCTTGTAAGACATATATGGCTAAATATCGACCTGAAGCCATACAATTGCCGAAATTGTACGAGCATTGAAGGTTTCAATCAGTGTCGTGGAAACATTAGCATGGTTCAAAAAGCAATCGTGAAGCTTTTCTCCATCTTGTCTCAGTGGCCGGTAGTAGAGGGGGCCGAGCTGACGCTGGAGCTCTCCGTTCAGTCTCCAAGCGATAAGGAGCATTGGGCCAAGAACCTTCATTTTGGAGGTGGTGACGAACATGAGAACTCAGCAGCCGAATGGTCTGGGAATCAACCATTTCACGACCCTAAACATGGCTGGATAAATGGACGTCAAGTCCAGGCTCCTGGCGAAGGGGCTTTACTACGAATTTTCGAGCCCGTTGGAATCCTGGGGTTCAAAGAAAGCCTTCCTCAGGTTAATGCAGCAACACGATCCATACTTCGTCGGCAATGTCGAAGAAATATTGTGCCCCCAGCCCTGCGGTCTATATTCGATGCCCTTCCTCGGTTACAGTCATTGACTTTCGAGCCATGGCAATTTTGGAATAAGTGGGAACAGACGTTATGGGATTCTCGTAGGATATCATGCCTCTACCTGTTTATTATCTCTACTAACTACTCGCCATGCAGTTGGATACCCAAGGCTCATTGAATCACATTTGCCGCAAACACTGCAGCAAATATCGGTATTTGAAGAGACCAACGAAGGTTATGTTAGCTTACTTCAACATGGGCAACTATTCATTCATAGACCTGACAGAGTCCGAGTAACATCGCCCGCGGTCAATGCTGCTTTCGCCAAGAGAAGTCTTAATCTTGAGAAACTCTCCGTTGCATTCATGGTTGAAGCCTCGGACTTCTTCCAGTCATGCCAGCAAGACTGGGTTTGGAGCCATATGAGATCCTTGACCCTCACATCGAGGATGCTTACCCAAACAAGAAGTCTCGAGATACAAACTCTCTTGGAGAATGCTGCCACAACAGCACTTTCAATGCCACATTTACATACAATGGTCATTTGGAATGGTCGCAAGGGGGAAGCTTTCAAGTTCTTCTACCGCGCAGAGACTAGTCATACTCGTATTGGGTGGCGTGGAACATGGGATTTGAAGCTGAATCCAAGTGTTATCTGTGGTTGGCAGAGAGGTGCTGATAAACATACTCGGCATGACCTTCAAGTCGCTCCAGAACCTCTCATACTCAAAAGCATCGGCTCTCACGCTGATGCTATCGACCTCCTAGACTTGCCCTCGGAGGTTGTCCATCCGGTATCTTTACTACAGATGCCAAGAGAAAATGGATCGAGTTGGTATAAATATCAGAGATGAACAGGCTGTATTGATGGTGTCATCTAGCATAGATTATGATAGCCGTCTTTGACATCGAGAAGCTCTCGAGGTCTTGACCAAGTCACCATGCAGAGGAAGTTCCAACACGATTAGTTTTGTAGCTTAGGCACTTCATTAGCTTTGCGATGAAGCCTCAAGTGACACTACATTCCACAGTCGATACCTTCCTGCGGCAGACACGAGATCACGACGCGAAAGGAGAAACCTATTTGTAGAACTTCAAGAGACAATGTATTCCAGGCATCTGCCGTGACTCTACTCAACACCAGTGCCGTCGATTTCCCCGACTTGCCAGAGAAACCGCCCTCGCGTAACTGTGTGAATGGAGAAAACCCATCTGCCTGCCGTCGCCGCCAGCCTACCCGACCAGCCACCCCGACCCTTCTTCTGCTAGAACGTGATGCCATAATCAACCTGCACCAGTTCGGAAGAGAAAACCCCAGAACGCGTACCAAAAAGCACCTAGAACATCCCGGCAAGAAACAACAAACCACCGGTCAGATATACAAATCACAGTAAAAAACAACGACGACCACTTCAGCCAGACTAGAGCCCTTTGTTTTAGGGACAGACCAGCTCAAAGAGTTGCGTCAAGCGCAATACGGAAAACGAAGAGGTATCAGCCGAAGAGCCACGCGTGACGCCGATCAAAACGCCTCATAACGCCGCCCTCGAACGATGAAAAAATGAGGAAAAAGATATGCCTAAGCTTTGCGCGTCGATCTTCGCAGTATTGGAGTAGATGCGTGGATTGTGTCGCTGCTGCGACCCATGCCACGCCCGAATCCACGTGCACCCGGTGCGATCGGAGCCCTGGATCTGACGGGCAGGACAAGCTGAGGAGCGTCCATGGGAGGCAACTCTGCACGATCGTGACCTGAAGGAAGTCTCTACTTCTTCAAGACGGCGTCGTACAAGCTCACGAGGCCGGTGATGGCAGCGCCTGTAAGGATGCCCTTCCATTCGCCGTACAAAGCACCGTTGATGCGGTCGATCGAGTTCTCGTTAATCCAGCCGCCAAAGGTGACCTTCTGTCCGTAGACGACGAAGGAAATGAGAGCCTTTACGATGCTGAAGACGAGGGGATCAACATTGTACTCTACTGTCGTGAGTTCGGAGCCCTCGCGCCTCTGGGGGTGGCTAGCCGCGCTCAAGTTGTAGAAGTAGCCGAACAAGGACGGAATGAGAACGGATGTCAGGGTCCACAGGGAAACCGGGGACCAGAAGGACGAAGTCACGAACAGAAACGCGTCGGGCACGTAAACTGGGTAGAAGCTGGTGCCTAGCGCGGGGATAGCCGGGATAGTGAAGGCGTAGCGCAGGGGTAGAACCTCGGCGCGCAGATTCCACGCCTCGAACGCAGCAACGGTGAAGAGGATGGAGGTGACCGTTGACAGAGAGGAGCGAACGGCCTGAGTACCCTCCTGGATGCCAGATTGGTCGTACAATTCTGTGGCGCGTTCCCTGATGGCGACTGTATGGCGGTCGACAGCCTCAGCGACGTCGGCAGGGGTTGCGGGCAGAGGAATACGGCTGGCGAGAGAGAGGTTGCGGGCAGGCGTACGCAGAGCCAGGGCAGTCGAGGCCGCGGCGGGCTCTGGACTGGATGATGAAGCCTCCTCCTCTTCTTCAGATTCAGGCCTAGAGACGCGTCCGTTAGTTCGCGATCACGAGCGGGGACGCGCGAGTGGATTCCTCTCTGCAATGCGCATCGCGCAGCAGAGAGTCCGGACTTTGCGACTTACTCGGGACGGATCTCCTCGATGACTCTCGTAGTCCTGCGTCGCACAGACTTGACAACTTCCGACGAAGGAGCCTCCCTCTTGATGGGTGACCCGGCTGCCTTGGCGCGGCTCGTGTAGTAGGGAGTGAGCTTCGGCTCGGTAGAGAATTTGAACGCGTTTTCCGTGAGGTACTCATCGAGGGTAGCCTCCAAATCGACCTTCTTCTGGTTCTCGTATCTAAAAGGAGCAGGCCATTAGCCATGAGGGTTCGTGAGGGTGTCGTGCACCTGGTGATCTAGGGTGGTTCGACGCGCCTCGAGGGGTAGCCTTGCGCGACGGATCCGGCAGAACGCGATCGCGGCGCAAATCGCAGTCGAATGCGCCTTGCGCAAAGGCACGAAGCTCACGATAGACGCGAGCTGGCGCATGACGGAGAAGAGCAAAGATTCACGTACCCAGTAAGTCCGGTTAGCTCTGCGAGCTCGACCAAGTCGCTCTTGCGCTGGCGAACGAGCCACGGGTTTGCGCCCGACATGGTTTGGTAGTTGAAACGGCGGAAAAGGCGACTGAGATGGGTATCACAGGAATCGCGCAAAAGAAGCGACTCTAAATCTTGGAACGAAGAGATATTCTTGTACAGTGATTGGAGTGATGCAAGGGGAGAAGGGACCTTCCGGTTGTGATAATCGTGGGACGTGGAGGGGCAGATGGTGATAACGGACAACGGGTAGCTGGGCTGAGCTGAGCTAGGTTGTAAGGGTGTAGTGTGTGTGGATGAGCGAGTTGGTCGAAGCGTTGTTTATGTTTTTTCCCGTCCTCGACAGCGGGCCACTTTGTTGTTGTGGTGAGAGAGAGCAGCGGGATTTGGGGGGTTCAGAGGGACAGAAGGGTGAGGGAGGAGGAGAGGGGATGACGAGTGACTCGGGGCGAGTGCGCCTTCGTGCACTGAGACCGTGTACCTCCCTCCTGCCGTCCCGAGTCATCTTGAGGGCAATCGCAATCACACAGGGAGCTGGAGACCCTTTGGGGGGGAGGGGCCCCCCGGAGAAGTTCGATAGCGGGTGCATGTGCTGCAACAGCGGTGCGGGTGCTGCAGATGCTGGACGTTGCGACTGGCTTAGCGGCCCCCGGGAGCAGCAAGCACTGGCCAGTCATGACGAAAAGGGTGGGGCATTCTTCGCTGCTCATATCCACCACTGACGCGACGGCAACACGGGACATGAATGCGCCCTCCAATGGAGCTGTCCGAATTAGGCAAGAGCCATGTAAACAAACGGCATAGTCGCTGGCCACTGCTCTCGACTACTGGTGATCTCCCGACATGAGCCATCTGGGGACTTTGCCGGGATGATGCGTGCTTTTCAATAACAAGTTGCCCGATTCACCCCCTCCTCTTCACACCACCCGCGCGAAGAAGCCCGGGAAAGAACGTGATGACCATCAGCTAGCTGCCATGCCAACCGCGGGGTTTCAAGGTCAACATTGGCAGTTGCTTGACGCCAGATTCAGTATCATCCAATCATCGCTTTCAAATGACATGGTCTTGATACACTTGATAATCATTCTCTGACAGAAAGACAACTGCTATTCCAGCCATTTCTTATTGGTATGTTCACACATCTTCAACCTCAATAATGTACAGAGATACATCCAATCCTACCATAACCCAATCTACCTAGGCAGAGTCCACTAAATTTACAAACCTCTCCTTTCCCCTGGGCACGATCCTCAGCGGAACAGTCGTCCCATGCGGCAACTTCAACGTCAACATCGTGCTCGCCGTCTTCAGCGTCTGCCGGCACTTATCCTGCGCCTTCTTATACAACTTCGCCCGCTCCGCCTGGCTCATCGCCTCGACCTCGGCATCACTAGCCCACTCGTCCACCGCCAACTCGAGGCTGTACCGCTGGAAGATGACAGATAACGCAGCAATAATCTCTACCTGTGCAATGCGCCGCCCCAGACACGACCGTGGGCCGTCGGAGAAGGGCACGTACGACCCCCGCACCGGCCGGAACATCTTCTCGCTGGTGTCGGACCCCTTGTATCCCCCGTAGTCCTCCGTGTCACCACCCTTGTCCTCCGTCTGCTCGCCGTTGATGTTCTGTCGGTACCACCGCTCCGGGACGTAGTCGTTCAGGTCGTGCGCCGCGTCCGTGACCTTGCTCGGCTTCGACGGCCAGTTGCGCGGGTTGCGGTGCGCCGCCACCCCGACGATGGAGATGTGGGCGCCCCGCGGCAGCGCGTGCTTCTCGCCGTCTAGGGTCACGATGCCGTCGCCTTCGGGGTTGACCTTCTTAGGGATCTCTGTCACGGCCGGCGTCATGCGCAGCGTCTCGTTCATGCAGGCACCCAGCATCGACGCGAGCATGGCGTTGACCGTGCTGTCGTAGTTCCACGTGCTGGGGTCGCTGTCGCCAAAGATGCCGTCAATGTCTTTCTGGAGCTGTCGCTGGACGGCCGGGTTGCAGGCGATCTCGATGCAGCCAAAGTGCATGGCGTTCGCTGTCGTCTCGTGGCCGGCGACAAGCATGATGAAGGCGTTGCCGGTGATCTCCGACTTTGACAACTGGGGGATCTTTGAGTCCTTGCCCTTGCTGACGATCCCGTTGGCGCCTCCGTTGATCTCTCCCTCGCTGCCGTACTTTGACCGCACAAGCTGGCCCATCAGATCCATACCCGCGTCCCCGTGATCGCCCTTTTGCAGGTCCCCAATCTTATCTTGCATCAACGCGTCAATATACTGCACATAGTTGTCGTGCGAATCCATCGCAAGCTTCGTGTATTTGAACGGAAGCCTCTTCAGCAGCCACCGCGGAACCAGCAACAAGACCAGAATATGCTCCAACATCTCGGCAATCGCATCCACAAAGCTCATCGTATGTCCCGGCGGCGCCTCCAGAGAGCTATACTTGGTAAGCTTCGGATCTGTCCCCGCAGGCAGCACCTGCCCCGGCCAGAGCAGCCGCATGCCGAAGCCCACGTAGCTGATGATGTTGAGCGCGAGGCGCATGGTGTCGTGGTCCAGCGTCTCGATCGTCTTTGTGCCCTTGCCGTCCGCGCCGAGCCACTTTTGCGTCATGCTCTGCGCCTGCTTGATGGACTCGGCAAACACGAGGGCGGCGTTCTTCTCATTGAAGGTGGCGGAGGTGACCTTGCGGTGCATGCGCCAGGCGGCGCCCTCGGTGGTCAGGACGTTTTCGCCAAACTGCTTGAGGATCGCGTACGTCTCGACGAGCTTGGGGAACTTTTCGCGCTGCTGGGTGATTTGGTGGATCGCCTCGGCGCTGTCGGTTAGGATGAGGATCTGGAACGGGGAAACGATCATGAACGTCTCGCCGTGGCGTGCGAAGGGTTCGTGGAGGAGTTCGTAGGACCAGTTGGGAATTGCGACTCTGCTTTGGAGTTAGCATGACGAGGAGAGGACAAGATTGTCTTAGTACGAACTGTAGCCAGTTCTCCCACCATGTCTTTGGAAGGGTCTTGATGATGGGGAGCCAGAGTTTGTGTGTTAGCTGCCAAAGCATAGAGAATGGCGAAATAGCTGCGCATCCACAGTCAGTACCAGGCGAATCCCAACACATCGTGGACACATACGAGACACCACGTAAGGCAAGCCAGACTTCTTTGCCTCAGCTATGTTGCGCTGCAAGCCGGAGACGTAGGAGTAGACGCCGTAGGCGACCACCGCTCCGACGAGAGCATAGATGGAAGACACCATGATGTAAAATCCCACACACCAATGGCCTTTGGAGGAATCGAAGTAGCGACGTGTGCGATAGAGTGGGTAGCGGGGTGCTCGACAGAAGTTATAGGCAGCCGGTGGGTTAAATTCGGGTGCAATTGGCGGCAGCTGACCTCGGGCTCCTCTTCGTCCTCCCCTGGTTCGACCTCGAGAAGATTTAATAGTATGGAGAATTATGATCAGAAGGAAACAAGCACGTCACCCGGACACTGGAAAGAACAGAAGAAACATAAAGGAAAGATTTGACAGAAGAGTAATGGAAGAAACGAAAGAAAGGACAGAAACGTCCAAGCAAACACGGGACAAGCCCCCATTTGGCAGCAAGTGGGCAGGGGTCGTCAGCTCTGGTTTCGGAGTGCGCTCGACCCGAAACTAGCACAACCCCTACCCAATTGTTACGAACTTGAATGGGTAGCGTGAGCTTAAGCTCTATGGATCTCGTCGAGCGTGTTTGTTCCCTCTCTTGCTAATTATCCACATGTGATTCGTTGGTAGGGGAGAAGCTCAGAGAGATGACGATGGGCGAATCGATGATAGGTCGGGGTGTCAAGTCTCAGATCACCAGACTTCGACATTGGTCGGATGAAAGGTTCCGCGAGGCGGTAAACGGTTCCCGGCAGCAGATAGCCTGTTGTACTTCTGAAAACAAGAAACGAGCAGACTAACAGAGAGCAAACATGCATCGGCAATGACAACTTGATGAATCAGAGACTCTTGGAAAAAGTGTTGCCCTGCAGTAGACGCCCACCATTGTGTAACACTCCGCCAGTTGGTTCCCGGCGGGGCGGATCCGTCAAGTGGGTCGCGTCACAGAGGGCGCGGCGAGTCCCCATTGGCAGCGGGAGCTCACCCCCATGCATCCTCAGGGAGTCAAAATCTCCACGCTTGCCGCGGTAGGCAAGGTTTGCCAGCGACCGAACTGCTTTTCTCCCGGCATGAGCAGGGCTCGACGTTCTTGTCCTCCCAAGGATCCGATAAACGAGAGACACGAGACGACCGAGAACGCAGTCCTAAAAAGCTGTATTCGTAGGTAGGGTTCCAGAAGCGCCACCTCCGTGACGGTGGACATACACCTACAACTTGATTCGCCGAGGAGACAAGGACGGCGCATGCACGTCAACTCAACCTCTAAATTTCCGAGTACATGTCTCGGCACCGCCCGACGCAGGACCGCGGCACAGCCTGTCTCGACTGAGACCGGCGTCGCGAACCAAGAAAAAACAAGTGGTCACTCGTGCCATTGCGGCGATGTGGTTGCCATATTCTGTCTCTTCTCGATTGCCGACGCAGGAAAGTAATTCTACGTCTCGTAACCCAATGCCTCGTCAGTCATACAGTCTGTGATTTCTAGTCCTGCCATGCTCCCGCCCGAAAAAAGAAATGCAGGGTATCAAAGCCCCCATCCAGTACCATAATTAAACCAACGCCCAAAGCAAATCGCCCTCAGTGCAGTCCAAATTGCCCGCTAACCCCTTCGAAGCTGGTGATTGTGCCGCCCAACGACTTGGAGTCGCCATAATACCGGAAGCGATATGTTCCTGCTTCCACATCCCCTTCCGTCTCCCACGTAATCTCCACCTCACTGGTGGCCAAGAGATCACTCATTCGCTTCCAGTGGAATATCAGACTCCAGTCCTGGTCGTCTCGAACAATGTCCCACTTCTTAATTCCGCCAACATCGATGACGAGACGCTCGACAGCAGCGTAGGTTCCTTCAAGACGCAGGTTGTTCCGGGGATTGGCTCCGACAAATGTGGCACGCACCACATCGCCAATCGAATACTTCTGTTCCACGTCCTTCTTCACGTCGCCGAAACTGCGGAGGACTGGTGTGCCGTCGCGGACAACGCCAGTAATGAAGCTCAAGGAACGGTCGCTATTGTCCGGAGGGTATGGACGCCCGGCGTGCGACGGCGGCGTCTTTGCTGATGAGGCGCCCAGCGTGGGCAGGTAAGTCAGAGTGCGATTGATGTACGCGTCCAACGTGTAAGGTCCATACAACGTTGATGCACCTTCGTATCTTTGAATGCTGTGGGAATCGTTAGCAGCGGCGGACAACATGTCACGACATCCCACACTTACCCATATTCCTGTTGAGTTGTGATGTAGTGGGTATAGCTGTTCGCCGGTCCACCGATTACCACAATAGGTTTGAGTGCCGTTTCATCACTGAATAATGATTCGGCCTCGCCCCTGACGGCATCTTTCCAACGACGTCCTGCCATGGTCGATGCCTCGCCTGGGCTGACAATGATTACCAACTGGCCGACTCGGAAAGCTTGAATGTCAACAATGTTGGGTGTCCACTGGTACGGGTTGAAAACCTCGCCCACGTCCAGCAGGATTGGTTTAGGAGAATGACAAGCAAGCTGATCTTGGGTCGGGGCTTTCAGCAAGCCAGAAACGACCTTCCACAATGGGGATGTGTTTGAAGAGTTCGAATCGTGCTGGGTAAAGTCAAATGCGCCAGGCCCGTCAGAGGTTCCGGCAGCGAACGAGTATCCGAGTGCCGCAGGACAAGTCCGCACCTCAGTGCCGTTGGGGAGCTCGAACTGGAAGTCGGACATGTTGTGGAAAGTGTGGAACGACTTGACCCACGATCCGCGTACTCGCTTAGCATTGTCACCCATTTCGTCATACAGCCTCCTGGCGGCATCGAATTGTCTTCTGCCTATTTCGTAGCAGGACTTGGCTCCGTTATCCTTCTCTCGGAAGAACGGGCCTCGGGCGTGACACTTTTGGCTCCTGCCGTCACCGCAGGTGCTGGTCTTGAAGTCGCATTGCGAACCACTGCCATCTTCGCACCAAGCGCCGAGAACGTTTGGACTGACATCCCCCATATTGGCCTGGGAGAAGCCGGCGATGAAATTCGACGTTACGTGATCTTGCCCACGGACACTTTTCTCAAAGAGCCAAGCTGCCACGCCTTTGTTGTCTCCCGAAATCAGAGTGTTGTTGCCGAGCATCGACGTGCCGTGCGTAGGAAACCACGTCAAAACAGCAAGGCTCTTGCCATCTGATGCTCTTTGGAACTTGAGCAATGTCAAGTCCTTTTCGACAGAGCCGTCTTCTTCGGCACTAATGTTGTACTTGGCACGTTCCTCCTCAGGATTTGCCATGTACGCATACAAGCTTCGGTTGATGTTGGCGCCCTTGACTTTGGTAGTTCCAACGCTGAGATGGCCAGGCACCAAGCTCTCGTGGGCACGCTTGATGGCGAGCAAAGTGCCGTCAACGATAGCCCGGTAGCTCTGCTTGTCAAAGCCCTTGCTGGTGATTTGTGGCAGAAGATAGTTGAGCCAAGCACCCGGTCCAGAGTGGGAGTGTGTCCCGGTGAGAGCTAGATTGTGATGGCCGTACATGGAATACTCATAGCCAAGGTCTGCAAGGCCATGCAAAACGCCATACCGGACCGCGGTGTCCCCGGACTGTGTGTCTAGAACGACATAGATGAATCGATCGTCCGGTTGATCGACGCTTCCGATGATGAAAGCACGAGCATAGAGCCTCTGGCGAAGGCCGGTTCCAAGCTGTTTGGGATCTGCATATCCCATCATGTTGATCTCCACAACCGGACCGGTAATATCTGCGCGACCAGCGCCAAGAAGATAAACATCGTTATCTGCATCGACATTTGCAGTGTTGAGCTTGCCAGGAAGCCGTTTCGAATTGCCGAAATAGAGGTAGGTCTGCAAGATGAAGTTGACGATGATCAAAAAGGAAATGACTGGCCAAAGCCGGATTAATAAGGAAGTTCCTGAGGATTGCTTCCCTGCAGAAGCTCTTTGAGCCACAGCCGTCGGAACGGCCGGGCTCTTATCCAAGCTCTGTCTTGCCGGCATTTTGAGTCTCTGCCGATGTGAAGGTGTTGTGTCACTCAAACATGGGGAAACGAAGTGAAGTTGGATGGAAGAAACGGATTACGGGATGCAAGGATCTGAGCGTTCAGCTCAACGTGAACGCGCGGAGGGATCATTGTGCGACACGGAAGTGTCGGCCGGACTTGAGTCCATGTCTTGGGGGAAGCGCGGGCCAATGACGCACTTTCCCACTGAGGTTGGCTGTGACGGAAATTGTTAGTGCTAGCGCGCAGCGGCATTCGGGCACTGCCAGATTGCCCTGTGGAGCACAAACGCTTAACCCAACGTCGCTGCTTCTTGCTGCATCAGCTCCCGGCACAATATTGGATGAGGAAGCTGCATCCATCCACACCTGCCAAGCCCGTGAATGGGGTGATTAATACTACGGAAGTTCAACTGTATGGTAAGAGCAGAAAACAACCTGAATAACCTACCTCTCAGACCGGGCCCGGCTCAATCCTCGGAGGATGTCGCCCGTCGCGATGGCCTTAGTTCGAACGCCCTAAAGCACGACGTTTTGAACCATTTTCAACTACGAGGAAAAAAAAAAAAAAAGGTCAGAGGCCTCAAAACTCATCATATCAAAATCCAAGAAGCAACCCCCATCGCCGAGGGCTTATGAGCGCCCTTTCAATCAATGTGCGATGATTGGCTGCGCCGGTGAGCACTATAGACGCGCGAGAGTCTATTAGTTTGGTCCCTACTTATTACAACGCCTCTACCACAATCATGGTTTCTACGGTCGTAGTCATCTCTGCCGTCGTTGTCGTCTGCTATCGTCTCCTCCACTATAGTTGTTGTCAGCTCTGCTGTCATTATTACTTCTACTTTGGTCGGCTGTCTAAACTTCGAGTATGTTCAAACATGGGAAACATGTTCACAAAGACACGTAAAAGATAGGTGGTCTCAATAACACCGATTAAGCAAGTACTGAGCATTAAGGATACTATCAACAGGGAAATAAAAGGTTCAGCAACGAGAGAATAACAACAAAGTCACATTCTCCATAGTCACATCAGAGCTGTATGTCATCACCACACTGCCATATCAATCCGTCGTTGTCCCTTCAGTAGTACTTGGGGTTCTCGGGATCGGTGAGGTCGAAAATGACGGAAGAATGAGGCCGAGCACCACCACGGTCGCGGGTGAAGATGCTTTCGAAATCGATCGTTCTGTTGAAGCTGAGCCCTCCGTTGGGGAGAATGTCAATCCAGTGGCCCTTGTAGTCCCCGGGGGTGTTGACAATCGAGATCTGTTTCAGTCAAGGTCAGCTTACAATTCATCGGATATTGCCCTATTGGAGAGCCACTCACATCGCCGCCCTGGACGAAGTATCCGGTAACAAGCAGGTTCTTCTTGTCGGGGCTGATCTTGACGTAGTGCGGCCCGATGATGGGCTGCGTCTCGTTCGGGTCGTCGAGCCTCTTGACGTTGTTCAAGTCTGAGATGTCGAGCGCCGCGACATGGTTGCCGAGTGTGATGGTGAAGTACGCCAGCTTGCCGTCGTCGCTGATATCCGAGTAGATGGCCAGGGAGTCCTTCGCCTTTGAGCCGAGGTCGTAGAGCAGCTCGGCGACGCCCTGCTTGCCGGACGAGTCGCGGCGGAAGGGATAGATGATCCAGACTTGGCCTGGGCCGACGGCGCTGGAGAGGAAAGACTGTCAGTGATGGCCTTGTACGGAGACGAGAGGCGGGAAACTTACGTTGCGATGGCAGCGCTTTCGGGATTTCCTGGGATGAACTTCACATCTTGAATGCCGAGTCCCTGCAGAAGGACGCGTTAGTCTGGGTCTAAGATTCTCGGCCAAAGGGGGCTCACGTTAGGGATGGTGATGGTCGAAATGATCGTCCGGTCAGACAAGTTCCACAGCCTTAGCGTGCTCGCCTTCTGAATACCCAGGGTCGGCTTGAGGATGGTGATGGGAACAACGAAATCAGACGTCAAAATGATGCCCTTGTTGAAGTCCACAGCCAGACCGTGGGGGCTGAACTGCTCGCCAAGGATGTTCAGCGTGCCAGCAACATCCTCAGGCCATTCGTGAATAATGTCTCCCTCGGCATTTGTCTCGACAAGGCGACCGGGGGAGGTGCCTACTGCGCTACCCATGTATGTGATGAAGAATCCACTAAGCTAGTCAGCGACTTGTCGCAGTGGGAGCTATGAGAAGAGACACATCATATGGGGAAAAAAACTTACCCCTCAGGCTTAGCTCTGATCTCGTCCACGATAGAGCTTAAAAGAGCACGGTTGGACTTCTTCAACTTGGGGGCATACGGGTTCGACACGTCAAAGTAGAAAGCCGTATCCTGGGTCTTCAACAGTGAGAGAAGTCCACCTCCGATGAGGGTCTTGCCATCGAGTGAGCTTCCCAAGTGATGAGGCGAGTTGCCACTGGTAGGGACATCGGTGACGGTGATGATTTGCCCAAACGTATCCTGGACGCCCAAAACAGTCAATACTTTCAAACCCTGACAGATCGGACAGGGGAGAATATGGGGGTTACGTACGTCGTCCAGACTGGCAGTCACCAGGAAGTCTTTGTGAATGTTGTCACCTGCCCCAGTCCAAAAGTATCCAATTTTCTTGGGCTTGATGTTGGCACCCGTGAAAGGGGGGCTATCAATGGGAGGCGTGGGGATCTGGAGAATAGGAAGGGGCGGCGCGTTGGAGGCAAGAGGCTCCGTAACGCCTGGGATGGAGGGAATCAAAGGAGGCAGGCTGAGCCCTAGTGGAGATCTCTTGCTGGCGGGGGAGTGGTCGTTGGCGTTGACAGGCCCTCCCGCTACAGGAGAGAGCAATACCCCCGCGAGCGCTGCAAGAGAAAGCTTGGAGAGCATGGCGACAGACGGAGACGACAGATGGGGAATGCTTGATTGATTGAGGAGGGCTGATGAGGCCTGCTTGGTGATGCTGCTCTAAGTCTTTGAAGAAGGAGCAATCCCGTCTGATTCTTATACAAGATTGTTCGTTCTGTTCAATAGTCGAGATATCTACTACTTGCAATCTGTCGTCCCGATCAGAACCACCAACCTCCCTTGGAAATCGCATCATGAAGCCAATAAAGCTCCTCATCCGCGCCGTCCAAGACGAAGAGACTTTTTTGGTCGTGATATTCAGAGTTGTAATCCACCTAGCCGCGCAGCGCGGCACATAGCTGAGAATGACTTTTCCAAAACATTCAGACGATGTCCATCGCAATATGACAGCCGCCATAGACACCGCCAGAAGTGAGTTTGGAGATGTCGCCATTTCGACCAACAGCGGCAAGTCTGACTTCCGAAGATGCCAAGATGCCCAAAACGAAGACCTGAACACAGGATTGTCTCAATTCGGCAGTGGACTCACACACAAGGTCCCAAGCCCCTGGTATTCGCGGTGATCATCAAAGACAAGAGCAGGAAGGATCGTCGGCCAGCATTAGACGGTAGTCACGCGCATGCTTAATTTTATGGCTGAAAAGAAGCAGAATTAGAAAGACTTTGGATTGAGATGAGACTGTCGATCAATGCCTGTGGGATCCAGAGGAACATGCTTAGGTTGGTTGATGATTCCAATAGCTTGGGATGGCATCATGCCCCACGAATCATAGACTCTTGAAAGAGTCCGTGTCTTTAGCGGCAACTTACTATCTAGATCGAGGCTGAGAGACAAGGGAGACTGAGACAACCTGCTTTGATAATTACCATATTCTTGGGCTACGATAATTTAATGTTGTGAAATCAAGCTCAAAAGAGAAACTTGGAGTTTGGACAGCACACTAGTATTTGATGGCCTCGATCGAAGACGATGGTAGAAACAATGACAATAATAGCGGCGAGGACGATGGAAACGACGGCGACGACGACGACGACGACGACGTTAAGGTAGAGTATAGCCACAGGAAAAATGGGCGATCTCTCGGAGAAAGTAGCATGACGACCTTTGCAGTGCACGTGTCGACCGGCGCTTGTTGAGTCGTGAAGAGCACATGCTACTCAAACACACCTTAACAGCATCAAAAACGAAAGAAACAACAATGGCACCCCCACCCCAAAATTCATATAAGCCAAGAAACAAAACAAAATTGCCGGTCAAACTAAGCTTTCCAAGCTAACACGATCCGGCCCCATAGCGATCGGCGCGCCTGACCGGTGCAGGTGCAGCCCTCAAGCAACCTCCCCTCCCCCCACGCTTTCCTTCGATGTCGTGATCTTCGGAGAAATGTCGAATGGCCGGGGTCAACACCACCAAAATTCCTCGTTCAAAGACAAACCTCTCGACGATCACGAAGCTAGAGCTGCAGCACGAAAGAGATATTGGCGACTCAAAATTACCAGGTAGCATCAATAGTTCAATGTCGTCATTGCGAGAGGCACAATGCCGCAGACCTGCTGCTGCCGAGTTGTAAGACGCCATGGCTTGGCTTGAACGTGATGCGCCGTGTGGTATTCCGCCATCGCCGGCGGGTATGCTGTGTAATAACAGATTCAGAGACGGAAGGCCGTAAAAGTTGCGGTTGTATAAAGGCAATGCTGAGACGAGCGCAAACCTCCCTTTCTTTGAACGTCACTCGACTCTGGGATAAACAGTTGTCACTCGTGTCTTTGCGCCGGTTTTCAGTCACTCGTTGTAGCGTTCATCATGAGACTCCTCCAAGCTTCCCTGCTGGGCTTCGCAGCGATCGCCTCGAGCACCAACGCGGCACCCCAGAACGAGAAGCGAGACGCGCAGTTCAACGTCGGCCAGCCCATCGACGCCAATGGCAAGGGAGGCCCGATCCTTGGTAGGTTGTCTCCTCCAATACCTCGAATACCTCACTGACACGGGAGAGCACAGGCGGCACCAACAACCAAGTCGACAGAGACAACCCGGACAACCTCGGCCAGCAGCCGACTGACAACGGGGTGGTGCCCAACCTCAAGTGGAGATTCTCCGACTCCAAGACCCGGATCCTCAACGGAGGTTGGGTCCGCGAGCAGGTCATCCAGGATCTGCCCCAGAGCCATGACATTGCGGCTGCCCAGCAGCATCTCAGAAAGGGGGCCATTAGAGAGCTTCACTGGCACAAAGTGGTATGTCCATCCCACAATCCTCCGGTGCGGAGTGATGTGTTAACATTGCGTGGCGGACAGGCGGAATGGGGCATCGTCTACTCCGGCTCCGTGCTCGTATCGGCAGTCGATGAGAACGGCAGGTACCAAGCTGAGAAGCTAAACTACGGAGATATCTGGGTACCTATACACTCCCCTCCATACTCAGATGTATACTCACGGGATGAAAGTACTTTCCGAAGGGGTTGCCACACACAATTCAGGGGCTCGACGATGAGAACGAGTACCTGCTTGCGTTTGACGAGGCCGACTTTGACAAGATCGGGTGCGTACTCCCTCATTGCAAGCGACGACTCTGCTGACATTGCAAAAGCACAACCTTCAACATCGTCGACTGGCTTGCTCACACACCTCGAGACATCTTGGCCAAGAACTTTGGCGTCGACCCTTCAGTCTTTGAGAAGCTGCCGTCCACCAACCCGTACATCTTCAACGGCACCATCGCCACCCAGAACGTGACTGCCGGCGCCAATGGCTACCTTTCAGGCAACAGCTCCTTCGTGTATCGCACCCTGGAACATCCAGCGGAAGTGGTACCCGGCAACGGCGGCGAGTTCAGAAAGATAGACTCGACCAACTTCCCCATCAGCAAGACCATCGCCGCAACGTTCGTCACTTTGAAGCCGGGAGGTCTGAGAGAGCTTCACTGGCACCCAAACGTAAGGGCGCACTCCTGTCCGGGACTCGGAACTGGGTTTCTAACACTTCCTAGGCCGAAGAGTGGCTGTACTTCCACAAGGGCGAAGGCCGCGCCACCGTCTTCATCGGCAACGCAGCGGCGCGGACGTTTGACTTCTCCGCGGGAGACACGGCCGCTTTTCCCGACAACTCCGGGTGAGTCAGCCCCTCTTTTCCGTGGGCGCCGTGCCGGATTCCGTTACTGACGAAAGATATGCTCCGCAGACACTACATCGAGAACACTTCCGACACGGAAGACCTCGTGTGGATCGAGCTGTACAAATCAGACAGGGTCGCCGACGTTCCTCTTACCCAGTGGCTCGCCCTGACGCCGCCGGAGATTGTAGCTCAGACCCTCAAGGTTCCGATTGAGTTTGTCCAGCAGTTGAAGAAGGAGAAGCAGATACTGATCTAGACCATTCGGTGACGGTTGAAGACAGGGATGGTTTCTCGGAAAGCTCGGTGTGACGATTCTTCTTCAGACGGCGCAGGCCATGTAATACTTGTTGGTAGCCGCTTAATACTTAATTCATGGGACGCATCTGCTGTGACAGCTCGCGAGTGCGTGTAAGCGGACCATCATCACGAGGTCAGGATGGTAATCCAACGATTCATGTCTGGCGCTTGTACATGCATGCAACGAAGGCTGATAAGCGGGGTATCAATAACGAACGGGGCCTCGGCCGGGAGTGAAAAAGGCATGCTGTCCCCCAAAAATCCGAAAGCATCTCCAGCTCCAAGTTTCCTTTTGAGGCCAGACGAGACGGGAATGGCGGGCTTCGGTAGGATGGCAGCATGCGCATGCAGGCTACCCTGGGGACCGGAGCGGGAAACTCTATCAGCGGCTAGCGGCGTTGGGCCAAGCGTGGGCACGCCGCTGAACCAGCAGGGGACTGACGGCTGTCAAGTCTTGACTGTGCAACACCAACCACGCGGGATCGTATGATGGTCGTAGTCTTGCGGCGGCAGATGGAGCCATGGGCGAAAAGAAGGGTAGCAGAAGCATCCCATTGAGTGCGGGAAGACATGAAAAGAGCCCCGGCCACCATCGCTACGAAGTTTCTTGTGCTTCTTCGTGCTTCATGGGGTGGCCTCGGCGAGGACGGCAGTCTGACTTTTGCGACTTAAGGTGGTGTGAGTGGGAGAGAAAGAAAAGAAAGCTGGATGGTAGGCTAAGCTGCCCCTCGTTCATCGAGGTTGTGAAGAGCGGCACTTGCTCCCTGCGCATCACGAGAGGGCAACAAGTCGAGACCACCTTGGGGGCGGAATGCGGGGGAAGATAGCATTGACCGAGGGGGTTTTCAAAGTCTTGGAGGCCGGTTGATGGTGTCTAGCAGGACTTGTAAGTCGACGAGCTCTGAGGTGGTTTCGTCGTTTGACCATTCTCCACCGTGGCACGGCAGGGATGGCCGTTTTACGTCACTTGGGAGTTTGGGTGCCATATCAGCGTTGAGGATCATCCCCTCCTTCGACTAGCTGTCGCACCTGTGAGTGCCGTCTTCCAGGTAAATGCTGATAAGAAGTGACACCAGTCGAGTGGCCGTTTGGCATGGTGAAGGTGAGAGCTCGGAGCTTGGATGTGTGGCCATGATAGCGTTCCCGGATATGCGAGCCGCGGGGCAGCCGCAGGTACCACGGACGGCCCAAATGGGCCCAACGAGTGTCCGGCATCAAGGCCATGTAGATCGGGTGGCCAATACAGTCATTCAAGACCCTGAGGATCTTCAGGGAAGGACAAGAGAATCAACGTGCGAAATCTTGGAATCCTTCTTGGAATCCTGTGTCTCGGTGGGGGCCAGCGAAAGCTGTTTGGCTGATCCGAGAAGGGCGTCATGGCAGATGCGAGCTGCAACGAGTCCCGAGAACGCAGCTCATCCTTTCCCGTTGGAGACGGGGGCTTGGTGGTCAAGTGACCAACTGGAAGATTTCCGGTAGGACGGAACGTCGCGGTGCCAATGGCCGGGGACTTGCTGGCATCGGTCGAGAAGAAGAGCAAACGGCCCATTGAAGCGCGACATTGGCCAAAGAATGAGTCGTGAGCGCGCGTGTTTGTGTTGTTGTTGCTGTTGCTCAGACAAAATGCCTTGTGGAAAGCATCTCAGACCAATGGGGAGGATGCAAACAGACGATGGACCGAGAAAGTAAAGACTCAGGCCAGGTCAGGTCAGGACAGCACCGTTAGAAAGACGATGGGGACTTCCAGCAAGCAGTCAGAGCCATCCGCAAGGTGAGCCATGTCTCGAGCCGGAAGGAAACCCCAGGTCGCTCCAGCCGCAGCCAATGGATTGCCCCCAAGTCTCGGGCTAACAAACCAGGGTCCTGTCTTCCCTAAAGCCCCGTTGTTCGTGTGTCATCCAGCCCAAAAGCCCAGCCAGAGAATTGGAGTCGTTGGGGTCTGATGCATTGACGCAGCAGAGCAACGCGGTGGGCTTCAAGGGAGCAGCAGCAGCAGCAGCAGCAACCACAACAACAATACCTGGATGTGCGATGCAAAAGCAAGACAGGGCAAACAAAAGTCGGCCAGACAGCAAGCCGTGAGCTGGTAATTGGTGACTGGGAACCGAGAGCAGGGAAACTACTCCAGGTAGCAATAACACGGACGGTAAACATTCATGCAACCACTAGCTCGCAGCAGCGGCTACGGCGACGACGACGACGGGATGGAGTAGTAGCTGCTTGCCTTGCCTTGCCTTGCCTCCTTTCCCGGCTCCTGGATCTGGGCCTGCCCCTCGACCTGCTGGACCCTTTCGTCTCCTGTCCAGGACATGGCTATGCTTTCTGCGTTCCACGGGAACCACCAGATGAAACCGAATTTTCCCAGTCTATAGTTAGCAATCAAAAACCGCCGAAATCCTGACCCTAAGGGTCATGCGAATTTCTGCTCACCTTGTTGTGTCTGTTTTCCCCAGGAGGCAACTCTTGTCGCATAAGTGTCTTGCCCACCTGTTCTCGTCGCTGTCTATGAACTTCCCTTCCACCACTCTCCAACTCCAGCGGCGACTTTGAATTTCACCGCCCGCATCTCCAAGCGACCTTGCTGATCGATAGAGCGGTACTTCGCCAGAAAAGGTACGTACCTCTGCCTCTACCCGTCCCGCCTTCACCAGCGGAGGGCAGTCTGGGACACCTGCCTTGCACTGGCACTGAACCAGACTGACTTCACTGTGTCCACCCGCCAATGGCCTGCACTGACGGATGCCGCTTCCCCCTCCTCTCCAAAAAGAAAGGGGCCCCGCTAAAAACCACCAGCACAGGACGCACCCGCCGCCTTACCAACCCACTGCACCTCCAAGTCCCGTCACATTCGCACTGCACTCCACCTCCGTCTACATCAACGTCCCTCCTCTCCGATCTTCTTTCCCGCGGCTCTGCTTCTTCGTACCCTGAGAAGCTGTCAAATCTCTCGCTACCGAGCGTCAATACTCCTCATAAACCAAAGCCCGAAAGCGACCTCTGCCGTCAAAATGAACCCTCTTCAGAAGAACAAGATCGACGTCTCGGTACGTTGGCACCAGCCACGCCCTCTTTCCTACCCAATGGCCCCCACCTTGACGACGAAGCCCGCGATTGCATCACAACGCACACAATCAGCCACTCAATGAGCCGCAACGGTTGAAATAATTTCGCCTGCTGACAGTATTCTTCACAGTCCCTCTCTCCCGAGGAGCAACGTCTCTTCCGCCTTTACGGCAAGCTCCCCTCCCGCTCCGATCACTTCGCCAAGCACTTGAAGGAGCGCAAGTACTTCGACTCGGGCGACTATGCCATGTCCAAGGCCGGCAAGGGCGACAGCGTCGACACTGGTGCCGTAGGCAGCCAGCACCCCGTTCCCGAGAACATCCCTCACCTCTCGAGCCCTGTGAACAACTCCTCCTCATCCCTCAACAACGGCGCCAAGCACCACCCCAACGTTCCCAGCGGAGCCCAAGCCGGCAGCCCCGTGAAGGAGTCCAGCTTCCTCAACCGAGAGACCAGCGCCGAGGAGGTTGAGAACAAGAACAACGAGAACAGCACGCCAGTCATTGACGGCGCTGCAAAGACCGAAGCCATCCCCATCCGAAGATGAGGGGTCTGCCCGAGTGCCTTAGTCCGCTGTCCTTTCTCTGTCTTGTTACCCCAGGTTTTGTACGGGTGTTTATCGGAAACTCCCCGGAGGCAAATTGGGTGTTTGTCGGGGGGTTGGATTTCTACTACGATGTTATGATGAAGTGTTGATCTTTTCATGAAACTCCTTGGCGTTGGAATGGGTAGGAAACCAAGCACAATCGGTTGTTGGGTGGAGGTGGACTTATGTTGTCGGCTTGTCTGTCGTGGATGGACGGCTGGGGCGCTGGCGGTGTTACGCCGCGCTCCTGACCGTTTTTCCCGCTCCGCGCGGGACTACCAGGAAGTCTGATTTTCCGTACATGTGTAAAGGGCTGAAGCGGAAGAAGAGAACGATACATCAAAGCAGCCAAATCGAGAATTCGTGTCAATAGGCACATGGCCTCCGCCGTTCAACCGGTTCGTTTATGAGTTGTGGAAGGGCACTAAGTCGTTGTACAGGGTCGTTTCGCCTGCGAGCACCCCGGTGGTTACCTTAAACCCACGCCGTCCCCGGTCATCACAGTGGAACCAACGAAAGTGCAAATACTTTCCAGTCAGGTCACGCCCGTGTTAATATCATCATACCATGCACAGTCAGAAGGCCACAGTCAGAAGGCCACAGATAGTTATCGAACATCGAGAAACAGGCATTGATGGGATCCCGATGTATTGATAAGCAGAAGACACTTTTTTCTGATGCCATGCGCCGTCCCATGTCCCAATAGCCTTCCTCCCAGTGACCAATCCGTCTTGAAGACCTGTTTTACAGATCCAACGCCTTGATGGCCATATCCTTGGCACCATCAAAAGTCTTGTTTCCACCAATGAAGCCAGCAGCGTGGACAAAGACACCCCCGGGAATACCAGTGATGCCGTCGAGCTCCTCGTCTCTGAATCCGCGCCACGCCTCGGGAAGGGGCTTGCGGCTCTCGAAAGAATCCTTGGTGACGGGAACAGCCTGCACACGCCACTTGGCATCAGGGGCGGGCTTCTCCGGGTACAAGACGTACACGACGGACGGGTTTCCGCCCTCGAGGGAGTAGAGGTGGTCCTTCCAGGGAGCGCTCTGGCCCTCGAGAACCAGCACGCGGCCCTGGGGGTCGTACTGCGTACGCTTCTCAAAGGCGGCCTGCACGACGGCGCGGGCGGGCAGCCACGCCTTGGCGTAGTAGTCAAGGTCGGCGTCGAACTCCTCGCCGATGCGGCGGCTCGCCTTGGCGAAGCGCTCGTCCTCCAGGCGCTGGGCCTCGACGGGGTCGGAGGGGACGGGGTCGTTCCAGTTGGGGTTCAGACGGCCGACGACGGAGCCGAGGGTGAAGGCGCCCTCGC